ATGTTGTACTCCTTATATCAAATGCATTTTTCACCCCAAAAAAAATTTTACCTGGAATATTTTGCGGGAATAGGAATCGGTATGCTTGAACGCAAATGTGAAGCGAACGCACACTTGAAGCCGAAAAGCCCGAGAACAGAAGAGGAAGGAGGCCAAAAGCAAACATGCACTTAAACTGTAAAAATAAAAAAAATAAGTCGCGCGAAAGAAAAAGACGGGGTGCTTTTTTTTTTATGTTGTACTTTTGCGGAAAGTATGCCGAGATCTTTCACCAATCTGGCACTCTCGGTAGCACTGTCTGTAGACGAAAGGTAATCCAAAAGACGATACCATACGATGATTTAAAAAAAAAAGAATAAAACATGCTGGGACGAAGGCGGAGGGCACAGTTCTTTCAACTAGCAACCGACATGAGGGTAGCATTATTAAACGTCGGTTGCTAGTTGAAAGAACTGTACTGGCTGTCTTCGTCCCTACGTGTTTTAATCTTACATGATTTTTTAAGGTAGAAGCATTAAAATGTTCCTACTTTTCGACAATATTATATAATGACAGAGATTCTAGCAGGGCAAGAGAGAAGCTACGAGCAGCGTGAGCTTTCAAATTGAAAAAGAGTCCTCCCAAAGTTGTAAGCCTCCCTGAATGCGCTTACAAAACTTTATTATGAAAGAAAAATAGCCGCCTCGGTGGCTCCGGGGCGAGAGCGCCGGCCTACGGATCCCCCCAGGTGGCGGGTTCGAATCCCGACCGAGGTGCCCGCAATATGACGGAGGCTTATTGCGGAGAAGGCGCCGTGTAACCGAGCTTTCGGTTGCACGTCAAAAGATCCCCAGGTGGTCGAAATTAATCCTCAGTCCTCCGCTGGGGCGCGCCAGATGCCCGTCGTAGGTTTGGCACGTAAAACCGCCCAATTTGACTTTTTTGATGAAAGAAAAAAAAATTAAAAAATCATCAGCCGGGAGAAAGACAGCAGTGCTTCTGCGTGTGTGCACTTCTTTTTTTTTAAAGTTTACTCATCTCTTGATGCAGCGTTTGGGTAGCCTATTTGAGGAAGGTGCGGCAAGTGCCATACTTACTGTACGTGAGCTCTCCTTATTGTCCACTCATTATCTTGCCTATTCTCCAAATTCATACAATTCCTGACAGCGACCGCTTAATAAAACGACGCGTCTAATTTATCATGTAAACTTGCCCTGATTATTGTGATGAACCCAAAAAAGCACGAAATGACTCATGCGTGTTAATGCGTGCGCTAAGATCTGCTATGCTTGGATACGGGGAGCTTAGTGTAGTTTCGAATGCGCTGCACTCACGACACACTCTTTTGTTCTCCGGGTTCATCGTAATGAACAAGAAAAGTTTAAATTTCTTTGGGTTTGGAGTGTGTCACGAGCATGCTTTAATGACCCGTTTTCCACACGTCTTTTCTGGGTTCGTGTAGGGCCTTGAATCTTTTGTGCTCTTGGATTTGCCAAGAACCGCTTGTGGAAACTGAAGTAATTGCGAGGAGAGGAGGTTGATCGCGCCCTTTTTACGCTATTTACTGACTGCTTTCTGGAGTTCTGACGTCAGAAGCCCTCTGCGTTATTTTTTGTGCGGATTTATGGAGTTTATTTTTCGTCAAATTCGAAGGGTGCTTTTCGTAGCTTACTTTTTAGCGAAAATTTTGAGTTTATCATACTTTATTTTTGCTCGATAGGTAAATCTCTGAAATTCAGACCTACATTTTGCAGTGTTTTATATTTTTCAAAAATCAAAATAAATACTATTCGGGTGTAAACATGTGATAGATTCATGAAAATGCGATTGTATCAATTAATATGTTTTTCAGCTGGATTTGGCGCTGGCGCCACTGCCATTGACAATGCTACTCTGTCCCAGAGAAAAGTTTCAAACAAGTGTTGCTTCGATAAATGTCGACACCTTAAAACCAATAAATCTTGGAGGTAATCGCTGGGAAGCTCGTATTCATCCCCTCCTATCCATCAACCAGCCCGCTGCTGTGCGGGGTGGATTGGTAAAGGGTGTAACATAGCTTCAACTGCCCACACCCTCTTCTCCCTTCTATTAAATCTCTACGATTCATAGCTTTCAATGTTACAAAAGCACAACCCCTCCTTCCTCTAGGAATCACAAATTGTATCAACTGAACGTAAGGGCGCACTACGGGCTGAAGAATATTGCGCGTGACTGAAAACCCGAGATTACGGGTAAAAACGACCCATACACTGAGAGTTAAGTGCATGTGTTGCTTTTAGCCGCAGTCTCAGGGGTTTTGTTGTAACAAACGGTATGGACCAAGCTGCAAACCTGAATGGTAGACTTTGACATGACCCGAAAATACAATGACCTGTTTTTCTGAATGAACCTTGGCGAGATAAGCGGATAAGATCCCCCTGGCAATGGTGCGAAATTTGACCTACGCACGACCAGACCTAAAATACCTAATTTTTTTTTTTTTTTGATATTGCTACATTGAATTTTGGAGTGTATGAAGAATTCCGAATTTACAAAGTTTTACCGGAGGGCGTTTTTCAATATTTTTTTTATCCGAAAACTAGGAGCTAAGTTTTGCTATTCGGGAGTCAACTGCCCGTGCCGACGGTTGTCCTCGTTTGCTTATATGTCTACAATATATCATCCTGTAGCATGTACCGAGTGTTGTTACCCCTTGTACTAGGACTGCATAAAATAGCGCAGACATGTTGTTTTGTTTGCGTTCGTTGCTTGCCAATAAAGCATTCTCGTGTCACTGAAGTTCCTACAAATCGCGCAATGCGGAAGTATCTTTAAAAGTGATTGAATTACATTTCTAGATATTTGAATTCTACTCAATATATATTTTACGAATAAAATAACTTGAGTAGTGCTCTAAATACTTTAAGATGCAGGTATCTAGTAAGTTATCTTAAATACTGTTGTTGAGTCACTTGTTGAACACTGCCGAATGGCATCCACGGTATCCTTTCTTGTCTTGGTACTAACGCAATAAAGCAGCGCAGAAGCTTACATACCTTGTACGCAATAATGCTCATGCTAGAGAGAGTTAGGCCCGCAATTACGAATCAACTGGTGTGAAAAAAAATATTTATAAAAATATGCTTAAACAGGAGGAACACTATGCTTAGGAGCAGGGACGGTCAAGGAACTTTCGAACATTGAGGAACCCCTGAAGGTACTCTAAGGAACCCGTTAATCCCTAAGAACCCGGTTTGAGAACCCATGGTATAGACCAACGCGTTCCTCAAAAACAAGTCTGCGTTTTGCCCACACCAGGTGAGGGCACTACGCGCGCGCAAAACACGAAAGTCGCCTGAGGTGAACCGACTGCGCGTGCGTGATGCCAACAGCAGCGCCCACGCACCAGCGTGGCGTCAGGGCCACATTTTAGTCTGAACTTTTGTTTCGTGCTTACATCCTCGTTTGTGGCATTAAGGCAATTTATATTTCCTTTTCATAGGTGGGGTGTGGGGCCACTACAGTATCCTATGAAACGTATTGGCCCTATTTTATTACTTTCTCATGCCAAGAAGCCGCCGTGAGAAGAGGGTTTTTTTGTTATTAGGAACTAATAAAGCAGCTCAATACATCTCACCATTTTGTAAAGATACATTCGGTGACTATTCATGCTCAAGTCAGAAATAAAACTCCCTTTAGTGTTACTTCAAACGAGCAAAACGATATATCAGCAATCATTAACGAAACTAGGTCACCGAATAACATATGTTATTCATCATTCATTAAATCGCTGGGTGAAACTACTGCCTTTAAAAGGGTACTCCGGCGTCTTCTTCCTAGTCCCTGACTTGCCTGAAAATTTTCTAAACATACCAACAAACATCACTGAAATAGTAAATAGAATATTGGGCGAAATCTTCTTTTCTTTTTTTTACGAAGTCATTAGATTTGCAGTACTGGTCCTCACCGTGTTTTGCAAAGTGAAAGTCTCCACTGGCAATAATGAAAATGTAACGTCAACGGAAGGTGGGGGTTCCTTCTCAGGACTGCAGACTTTGTTCCCAGCCTATTACAAGCAGTTTTATTGCGTGAAATAAATGCTTTAAAAGCTCGCTCCAGCACCCGCGCAGCAGCACAAAACGAATGCTCGTCATAGTCCATTTTTAGACTGCCCGCTCGACCTGCAAGCCTGCCCTCCCCCGACGTTAGGGCACCGGAAATGCGCGGGTGTATTTGAATGTTTCTTGTGGCATCACTCGCCGATTTCACAATAAATATTCCTAATTTCGCCATACTAACTAGAATTTCGGAAAGGATAAAGGTCGGTGATCCCGAAACTAGGGTTAGTTGGATAACTAAAAAAAAAAAAAAAAAAGTCGCTGGGGTGCCCATTAAGCATCCCGCGATATCACCTCGACAGAATTCGGGTGATATAACCTTAGACGAAAAATAGGGCATCATGACGTGCCTCCACAGTCCTGAAGAAACGACAGCAACCGATTTAGCCGACGATCCGTTCTTGGTCAATCCTACTTCCTTCTCGGGGTAGCTTAAACGATACTCAACCGCGGATCAGGCTAAACATACTTTTGTTCCAAACGCAACGTTCACTGGAAGCCACACTCGTGCTTGGTCTCAAGCCAGCTTATCCAAAGGCCACGGTCAGACTGCTAATATATTAGAGAGCTTTAGGGATCCGCCTTTGCACATCCACCATCCGGTACAAACTGCGCATGCGCTAGCATAGAAGACTCGCACATACCGGAGGGCTAATCATACCGTACCGGGTGTGCAAGAACGGTTCCTTAAAACTCCCTATTATATAAAAGACACTCCGCAGACGCCAGGGAGTTTTAGGGAACCGTTTGTGCAGATCCGATACGGTAGAACGAGCCCTCCGGAACAAACTGCGCATGCGCTACAGCAAAAGATTCGCACATGCGCAGTCCGCACCAGAGGGCCCGTCGTACCACATCGGATGTACAAAAACGGTTCCCTCGTCTATTGTCTGTGGTGCGTTTATAAGGGTGCTGCCACATTGATCATGCACAACGAACACAGCGTGTGAGGCAGCCTTTAACCGCCCCCTGGCGTCGCCCACGCGCAGCTAGGCGACAGCAGTGGCATGGGCCTGTGGCGGCAGCAGGCGGTCCCGCAGCGAGCGCGGCAGCAGCCCCAGCGTCTCCAGCAAGCCCGCGTCCATAGGGCCCGGCGGGCGGCGGGGCTGAGCAGCGCGCCCTAGCGGCCCCTTGCCCCATGGATCCGCCCAGCGAGGCCGACGAGCAGCAGCAGGCCTACCAGGACCCCGCCCTGGCCAAGATGGAGGCCCTCGTGCGGAACATGCAGCTGCCGGACACCGGCGTGCCCGTCCGGAGCCAGAAGCTCTTCCTCACCTCCATACCCAGCGCCTTCCTCGGTGAGTCGACTGGCCGGACTCCCGCACTCTGGACACCGTGGGTCGAAACCGCTCTGATAGGGCACCAGTCTGGCAACTGTGGGCACGCCTTAGTGAGGGAAAGCAATACTTAGACCAGAAAGAAAATATGCTAAAAAGAAAAATGAGTGCAGCAATTATGAAGCATATGGCACTGTGGAAGTACAATAGATATGAAGTTTTTCGGGATATATGGAAAAGAGTCATGGTACCGTAGTTGTCTTTTGGTGATGCGGTATTATGCATGAAATCTGAGGTCCAGTCGAGCTTAGAAACCCGGCAGCAGAGCGTGGGCAGACTGGCACCGGGGGCGCATACACCAAATAAAGGAGTGCAGGGAGACTTGGACTGGGCATCTTTCGAGGCAAGAGAGGCGATCAGTAAGTTTAAATTTGAACAAAAACTGGTCACGATTGAGGGTAAACGATGGGCGAGAAAGGTATATAAGCATCTGTACGTGAAAAGTTTCAACACTAAATATACAAAGCGAACCCGAAAACTAAAATTAAAATACCAACCGTCAAGTGTGGATGCAGAACAGACTACCTCTGTGAAAAAGGAAGCAAAAGAAGCCGAGATAAAGATGTGGGAGGAAAGAATGCAGGTAAAATCAGCTTTAACCCTGTATAGGGGACAAAAGCAGGAAATAAAAAAGGAACATGGTAGGATAATTCACGGGGGAGCTCGTTGTTATTCAAGGCTAGAGGAGGAGGATTGAGGACCAGGACATAAAGGACAAAGTATGAGGAAATGGATACGCGGTGTGCCGTATGCCAAGGGGAAGACGAGACTATTGAACACGTGGTGTTCAAATGCACAGTGCCTGCACTCACCCCCCCCCCCCCCCTCCCCCCGGAAAGGGGTACAGATTTGGCCGGAGCGCTGGGGTTTGCAGACGAGTATGTAAGAATGGATGATAAGTGCATTTATAATAACAAAAAGGAGATTGGAAGACTGGTGAAAATTATCTAGGGAGAATTAAATGACGTACAACTAGGCTAGGTGGCGAAAGCTGCCGCCCGATACAAAGGGTACAGCCGTTAGCATCCATCCATCCATCCATCCAGGCTCTACTATCGGGGCCTGTTCATATATACAGCGTGTTTTATGAAAAGTGCAACCAGCCTCTGCTACGTTGCACAGCAGCGCAGCAGAGGTTGGTTGCCTTATTTCTCCACGGGGCGCCGTGCCGTCGGTGCCGAGATGCGCTCCGATAGCAAACCGAAACTTAAGCACCCGTCGCATTTGTGCGGTTTTTAGAAAGCCGTAAAATGCTGCGCGTGCCTTCTATCGTTCTGCAATTTGTTGATTTATTTACTGTTGTCCGATGATGCTGAGCAATTTTTTTATTGAATCCATGCCCTTAAACACAATATTTAAAAAGTTAATTACGCAAACATTATTAACAATGTCATTATCCCGGACTTTATAATTTTTCTAAATAGGCCCCTGGCCCAGGACCAAAACGGCACAAGCCTTTTTTTTTTCTTTTTTTCTTTTTTGCGACGCGTAGTTTTTGCAATATCGAATTTGTCCACTTTTCGTAAAACACCCTGTATACACCACAGCCCTACCTCAGCACCATTAGTCAGCGCTGCAAATAACGTTAAGCTTGCTGATGCTGCGCTGTCTGCGAGCTATGTTACTGGTGCAGTGCTGAAACAGCCTAGCATCAATGCTAAGGTACATGTAGGTCAGCGCAGCAACAGCGTGGCTCCTAGTTTTGATTTAGCGCTGTGAAGAATATCCGATTAGGTAAACCGGCCTCTAGGAAATCTGCACGAGGGTGCAGCAAGCCAGAAACATTTTTTTTTTTTTTTTAATGTTTAGTGGGGGCTGTGGCTCGAATGCCACGGACGTCCTCGACTCGGGAAGCGGGACGGAGGGGGGGGGGGGGGGGGAAGAGGGGGAGGGGGGCGTGATGCCTATGCATAATATCCCTAAAAAGCCCTCCCCCCTTCCCCCTTTTAAATCCCAACCGCTGAGACCGTGGACCTAAAACAAAATAACGATGCTTTTGCTATTTGCTTCAAGAAGTAAAACATCAATTCCTGAAATGTTTTAATTATATGCTAGGTTGAAGCAGAAATATTGCTCAAATATACATTCGTAAACTCCTAGTTTTTTCACCTTACTTACACAGACCGTACACATGTAATAAAACTTTACTTGATCGTGTGATTTTGAAGTTTAGTTTTCTGATTTACTACGATCTCTTTGCTGAGTAATATTTTGTTTTATGCTTGGGAAAAGAGCGTGTTAGTTTAAGTCATGGATGAAGAAAGAATTGTTTCATTCTTTCTTCATCCCTGATTTTATTTTATTCACGCGACATAGTGTATAACTTGTGACGGTAAGTGCGTTTGTAGATAAGATAAGCTCGAAAAGACTAAAATGCACAAAAGTGAGTTTCTTCATTTTTTGACGTCTTCGTGGAGTATATCTCCCCAAAATGCTTACTGCTGTATTTGTAGACTATCTCTGCTTCAAGTATCTATTAACAGCTACTAAAATATACTCCAGACTCGCTCAGAGTGATTCTAAATTTTCATGACTCGAGGTTTGCTTCAACTGAGTATCGATTGACTATCAATTAGAAACTGAGTATCAATTAGTTCACCTGAGCATCAATTAGAAACTTGCTGAGCATAATCGGAAATTACTGAATCAGCTCTATTTGGAACGACTTGAAGCTCGTGGGAAACTCAGAGACGCACCAAAGTTACCCCTCCGCCAGGAGGCGCAAAGCTAGCAGTGGCAAAGCGAGGATGATTAGATTATCATGGCGTACCGCCACTGCTAGCTTTGCGCCTGCTGCACGACTGGTAACTTCGGTGCGCTCCCGATTTTCCCACGAGCTTCAAGTGGCTCGAAAAATTGACTGATATAGTGATTTTCGATTATGCTCAGCATGTTTCCGATTAAAACCACAAGTCTTTGTCTTCTAATTAAAAAGTTAACGAACGAATTTTTAATAATTATCCGACTAATTAGCCGAAACATTAAGTCACAAACAAAATGTAGCAAAAGTAAAGAAATGCATGGCCCCTTTTAAGTACTGCGAACACAAATGTGATACCTAAAAATTGACGTAGTGGCTGGGTGACTTAGTAGACATAAAAAGCTTGCACCATATTATGGAGTAAACCCCTGCATAGACATTTGCATCGCTCCTCATCCCGGCGAAAAATGCTGAGTCACTGAGCTGTGGACGCATGCGTAGCGTCTGATATACCACACAACAGAGCAATAGCGCATGCTCAGATGGCGTCCCACAGCCCAGTAGACAAAGACGGCAGCGCAAAGAAGGCGACTTTTGCGAAGCTCTATTCGAGGCTCCAGCGAACTATAGGAGGCGCGCTGGTCAAGCAAAATGGCGGACGAAAGGAGGTCGTCTTCGTCGTTCTGCACGCGGACCACCATACATTTTTTGCACTGCAGCGTAAAATCCGTGATATATGAAAGCAAAGCAATTTTTCCACGGTAAAAACTTTCTAGTCAGTGGGTCAGTGGTAGGAACGACGCGGCAGAAGCATAAAAAAAATTACTGAAAGCGATGTTTGTTTCTATGTAGCCATAGCAGACGACAGAATCGAAACGTCCTCCTCTCTTGAGCTTTTTGGTGTTGCGGCTACGCGGCGTCGATTTCGCTGGAGTCGCCAATACATTCAGCAAGGATGCCGAACCCGTATGATGATGTCGCTGGTCAGATGACGTGGGTTCTGAAGGCTCTCGCCAGACTTGAGTGTACCGACTTACCATCAACGCGTAATTAATTTGAACCTCATTATATTTTTCGGTACCGAAGTGACGACTTTTTGTTACTTTTTTCAAAAGAAAGTACGAGTGGCGCATTTTTGTTACTTTTTGACAAAGTAATGATATTTAGTTACTCCCGGATGTGGAACGTGTGCAACAAAGGTACTCAACCTACTTGCCATCCCAGCTCGCCCCTGTCATTTCCACGGCGAGGAAACGCTAGAAAATCGTAAAATGATGTGCTCACGACGTATCGTATTGCCAGAGTTACCTCCGAATAAATCCGTTAAAAAGTAGGGAAACATTAACGACGACAAGCGTCGGAAACGGCTACGGCTTCGTAAAAAATGACACATTTAGAATAACACGAAAACAATGCGTTACTTTCAAGCTGAGGTAGCGCGTTTTTTTTAATCGCCGCGACGAGTAGTACTTGGTTACTTTATGAGTGAGTCAAGGGTAACGCCGATGAGTCGCTTTGTTTCAGTAACGTGTGCATGTCCGACTCGCACTCACCCTGCAGGTTACGATGTGGTCGAGTGGCTCACGGACAACCTGGACATCGAAGACCAGAGTAAGCGTTTTTTTTGTGTGTGATTTTTATTTTTTGTTTCCAAGAATGTGTAAGCATCAAACCTTACAAAATGCACGAGGTAGTTAGACCAGCAGCGAGCAGCAGTCGGGCGATGGCAAAGTGTTTCTTAAATTGTACCTTTGTCCCTCGGACTGAATAAGAGGCAAGCCTGGTCTTGTCTTCGGTCCACATAAAAAGGAGACAAAAATTCAGGGTTCATATATCGTGTCTCTTTGTCTCTAAAGAGGAGGACTCTATTGGGTAGTTAAGAAAAAGCGGCAGGAATGCTTTGGACATTTTCTTTCTTATCACTCAGTCCCCGGTTCATTGAGCCCAAGGATAGGATGTGTACTCTATAATTTTTTTCTTTGTTTAATTATCGACACGTCTTCGTTTTTGGCGAACTGTGTAAGATTATGTGGCTGTATTATATGGGGTTCTAAGCGATTACACACGGAGTCTTTATAGTTTTCAACCTCCAGAAGACATTGTATTATATGGGGTTCTAAGCGATTACACACGGAGTCTTTATAGTTTTCAACCTCCAGAAGACATTGCGTTTTGCAAGTCGAGGCGGTATTCACGCACCCTTACGAGTTTCAACACACCTTTCCTCGAATCCCACGGCCACCTGTTTGGTCGGAAAGAGGGTGCAGCGCATGCTTTGAACCACACCTTCCGCTTTCCTTCTGACACTTGTCACCGACTAATGCCAGAAAGCACGAGACGTTCTTTACGCCCTGCGTCTGTTTTTCTGTCATTTTGTCTCCACTGCGGCAAACTCAGTCTCAGGGAAAAAGGAGGAGGAGGAAACAAGGGGACGAATAGAGGAGGAGGGGAGGAGAAGAAGAGAGTACCGAGAAGGAAAAGGGGCATACCCTCCCCTCCGTACCTTCCCCTTCTCCTCCTCAAGAGCTGCGTTCTAATTTCGCGTTACAGTGTAAACGTCTTTCATTTTTTGTTGCACTTCAAACGAAGATTACTAAGTTTTAGAGCCCATATGAAGCTGCGGAAGATCGCAAGTGCAAGCACCACGTAACTATAGCGGCCAGTCACGTGACTATAGGGGTCACTTTTCCGCGTGCTCCCGCGGGGCCAAATACAAATTCGTTTCACGCCGTAAATATAGTGCTAAACTTTGCTTTGTTGATGTAAATTTGTTTTATAATATTCCTTTTCCATCCAGATTGTTTTAAAAAAATAGGACTTTCCTTTTCATATGTCCTTTAAACATTTCAAATTATGTCCCTCGCTCAGCGGTGCCTTTCTCCCGCGCAGTTTAGAGCTACTATGATTCAGAGCTATGTAACATATTTCGACTATGTGCACTACCGAAGACACCTGGAATATGTTCAGAATTCGTTTCAGTGATCCATGTAATCGTACGGATTTTATAGTTTAGAAAGAATCTAGAAACATTTCATTTGGGCCTCTTTATAAACAAAAAATACAACCGATTTAAGACGCAGCGTGTGATTTCATAAATAACTAAGCGGTCAAGATGAGCTTTTTAGTTTTCTATTGAGAAAAATTTATGATAATTATTCTTAGTTTCTTTTTTTTAGCAAGGAGTATGATTTTTTACGGAGCTCTTTCATTTAGAATGAAATGCGAATTTTATTTCGAAATTCTGGATTTCGTCGATTGACGTTCATCTCTTGCTACATTTTCAACAACTCACTACTACTCGGTCACAAAAAAAAAAGCAAGAAAAAACATCATTGATATATTTGGATACAGTTCACAAATATGTCATTCTACGCTGTCGGATAATTTGATGATTGAAGCTAGGGCAACAAACCGGATTTTTTTTTTAATTTGAGAATAACTATAAACGACATTTCAACTCTCTAAGAAGAGTGGAGTTTGAGAGTTTCGATATGGCTGCCTTTTTTTTTTAACCAAATCTTCGACTGAACATGAATATATTCTTTGTATTTTCGCTTGCTTCATATATCAGGGAGAGGCTCCAAAATACGGAAAAGCACAAACGGTGATAGTGGGTCTATAGAAATTGAACGATCAGCATATTTTTGCAAATTTAAAACTGCAAAAAATTGAGTTTCAAAACTAAGTTTTAGAGCGAAAGCTGAATTAAAATATATAAAAAAAGGAAAGGTTTATTGGCGACATTGCTCCATGAATTGTTTGACTTACCCGAAACACAGAGTCCTATACTCCTAACGCTGTCCATTCCTGCTTAGAGATTAGGCGTTGCATAGAGCCCAAGCCTCACCTGAGACATATTTCGGCTTCATGCGGACCCTAGAAAAGTCATGTAACACATTTTTGTAGTTTTGGGAGAAAAAGAAAGAGAGGCATATTGAAAGTGCCAAAAGTAACGACGCACAACATGTTAGCTTGAATCAAACTTCTCGTAAAGCAGACGTATAAAGGTGGACATAAAAGTAGTGGCGTAACGATGATTCTTGAAGATCATTCTGGGTTTTTAGGGTCCTGTCAGCAAAATGTTGACACAGCTAAGCATGACGTCGGTGAATAGATAATAGCTTAGCCCCTCATTGTGTCTGAAGTTCTGAACCTTTGGTGTATAATGCACGAAAGGTGTATTGTAACATTCTGATTTTAATTACTGTTGCTGGTTGTGCAGGTAGGCACCATAGTAGTGATCTGAGGCAACAATCCCGCAGTTGGATAAGGCTTACATTTATGATTTTTACTGATTTTGAATAGGTAAGTGTAACCGACTTCAACTTTGAGAAAAAACTTTTTCCCGTGCTTTCCGTACCAACCAGATTCAGTGTTCATTTTATTTGGTAACTGATAGTTTCAGTTGTGCATATAAGCACAGCATTCTTGGTCACTTGTCATGGTAATGTTTTTAGGCAACAGTCTTCCAGTTAGATTATGTTCAAGTTCAGAGATTCTGAATATGATTGTGAATAGGTAAGCTTGACCAATTTGAAGAGCGAGGAACCTTTTTTCCCCGTGCTTACCGTGCCAACCGCGTATTCAGTGTTTGTTTCATTTGATAATGAATAAATTTGGTTGTTAAGATATGCACAGTATTTTTGGTCATTTGCCATAGCGATGTTTTGAGGCAACAGTCTCTCAGTTAGATATCATTCAAGTGTAAGGATTTTTAATACGATTTTGAATAACTAAGCCTGGCCACTTTGAGGAGCAACTTCACAGATCCAGTGTTTGTCCTATTTGATAACTGATAGTTTCGGCTCTGTAAATAGGCACAGCATTCTTGGTTAATGACCATAGTAATTTTGAGGCAATGGTTCCTCAGGTAAATAGCGTTCAAGAGTAGTGATCTTAAATAAAGTTTCGAACGAGTAAGTGCAATCAATTTGAAGTGCTCGAAAACGTTCTTTCCCGTGCTTCGCGTGCAAAACACAGATCCAGTGGCGGCGGAGGCACTTCACCTAGCCAATCTACTCTGTGCGCACGGCTACTTCTTTCCAGTCAGTGACAACGCCAAGACCTTCGCCATCAAAGATGACAGCACCCTGTACAGGTTTCAGGTAAGGACGTCACTGTGTGCGGGGACTAACACAAAGTTGTCTTTCTGCATCTCATGCATGAACAGTATCTCGGAGATGCGCGTCAAACTTCAGCTTGAATTTTCATAAGTAAGACGTGGAGTCGTCTTTGGAGGTGACGCAAATCAAACATCAAAGTGATATTGTCGTTTCACGTGGCTCTAACGACTTGCTACCTTGAACCACCGTGTTGTATCGTCTTACTCTCCTAACTACGAGAAGTGCCGACTACTACGTGTAAGAACCTTAAATTCCGTTCTGAAGCGCTCTAGAAAGAAGCCAATTGCAGCAAACAAAACCTGATAAGTTTCAAATGACACGTTCCGATACAACCTCACATATTCGATCGACCTTTATTAGGTAGCCTGAATATAGTACAAGAGAACGTTTTCTTGTGCACAGCAGGTGCCAGTAGATAACGCGTTCTATTGCAGACGATACGAGCTGAAGCAGCGCTTCATGCTTCTTTGACGTGCCTGACAGTTTTTCAGAGAGCTGTGTTCCGAAATAGAAATGGAATTCAAATTTGAGGTACCATGAAAACTTCAGACCCTTTGATAAATTGCAAGATGATGAATGGTGGAAAGGGCTGAATACGGTGTTTCTGCTCATATAAAGCGGTGTCCGAAATCGTAGCCCCCTCCCCCCCTCCCCCCCCCCCCACCCCGCTCTCCCCCGCGATAAAATTGGGAAATAATAATTTCAAAGGCCGGCTCTTGTAAAGTAAGGGGCCTGCTTATAAAACAAGATTATTGCTTTTTACAGCCCTCTTGGCATCGGTGTTGTTCTTGGAGCTTCGGGACTATGCATTTCCGACGTTCTCGCACTACGATATGTGCGAAGGTTTCTAAAAAAACGAAGTCTTGCAAAAAGCGCAATAAGAACTGCGCTGTGCAGGTGTGAGAACGTAGTGGTGCTGTTTCATGACGTCATCGTAAACAAACACGGCGGCACCCATGAAACAGAGCAGACACTGGTCTATTCGCCCTTTATTGTTTGGCAGTAAACAAAGTGGCTCCGTCTATTGGGTAGCCCCGGCACACTTGCGGTTCGCGTAAATCTTCTAATTTCTTACTCATCGTTCTTTTATCATAAGCGTGAATTAAGTCTCACAGTGCTATAAGTGGCCGTTTTCAAAAGAGGGCGTGTTTATTTGATTTCGGAGATATTCCGAAACCGGCCGTCTAGTTAAGAAGCGCAGGTGGTTGGGGGCTATTTCCACACTGGCGCCACCACGTTTCAACTCGCGCGAGAAAGAGCGAATATCGTCCACGGGAGTACCTTTTCAGATGTTTCGCTCGTGTACAGTGTGTTGTCAAACAAAATTAGGAGCAATTAACAGAAACCTCAAATTTCTGTTGCACCATTTTCTAAAAATCTTTTTTTTTTTTAATGAGGTGAACACTTTTTGATAGAAAAGCCCTAGTGCAGGGTTTTGTTACGTCCCATAGAACCCTCCAGCGCAAGGCAGATATTTGGAACGAGAGCTACGTCATCGTTCGGCTAGGGTTCGTGTCCAATAAAACAAGAGTCCCAGCCGATCAATTACACACCACTGGTGTCCAATCTTTGCTCATCCCTAGTTTCCGCTAGATGGCGTAGAAAGTCCAGCAGCGCTCGTTATCAGGAGGTGTTGGTGAGGTGCGAATCGCTGGAAGAGAGAACCGTGAAAGCCGGATGCATCCATACCTTAAAAAATGTCGTGATGTCCCTAAAACAGTGCCTACTTCAGACTCCCCTGCTTTATTCATTCATCTTGTATGATTAGCAAAGGTACTCAACAGAACCAAGCTCACCTAAGCTCTTCTGTTCGTACAGACGCCATACTACTGGCCGTCCAGGTACCAACCTAACAACACGGACTACGGTAAGAACTGTAACTTTGTGACTTTCTCTCTGTCTCTCTCCAGACAAACTTTCAATAAAATATGTTCGGATATATCAATAGTATGATTTTACTTTATTTAAAGGAGGCATAAGAACTTAGTAGTACTGTCGAGGACTGCTCCGGCAGCAGCCCTTAAACAACAAAGCCGTAGTGCCGGAATTTTTCTGTCACCGACCGGATACCTGCGCGAAGCATAGAGTAGGCACTAGTGACGCGTCAGCCTTTGGCTAAATCTCTATGTTAAGTGAGTAAGAATGCTAATCTTCGTCGAACACTTGCCAGGCACTTGTGTATGCTCTATGTCCTTCCGTAAGTTACATAACAAAAAATCTAGCCCTATTGCCTTGCCATATATACTCAGTTTCACACTGTTTCGGCGCAATCGACGCTTAAATCTGACAGATCTGACAGAACCATGTTTTTTTTTTTCTTTTTTTTTAGACTTAGGATAGGTGGCGCAAGCTGCCGCCGGTTACAAAGGGTATAGCCATTAACATCCGTCCATCCATCTGAACCGATCAAGCAGTACCAAAACTGCATCGTCGCGGCGCTCGTCGTCGTTGTGAGTTTGCTCTGACTGGCGAAACCAGTCACGCACGCTGAATGCATTATGATCCGGCACTTTTTTCTGCGCGCGATTGTATGCGGAGCGAAAGTTCGTCTGCTCCCTTTGCAGGGGCTGTGGTGACGTCAGAAAGACTCCGAGCTCAAATTGACTCCGATTGAAGGATAGTGGGTAGCCCTCAAAGCAAGCTTCCTCGAAATCTACCCCCTATTCTTCAATCAAAGCCAATCATAGCTGGGTATCTTTCTGAAGTCACCACGTTCCCTGCAAAAGAAGCAGACGAACTTACGCTCCGCATAGCCAATGATAGCGAGCGTATAGAGAGAGACGACCAGCGCCGTGACGAAGGATTCTTCTATTGGTTTCATCCAATCGTAGCGTCGGCCGGTCTTGGTGTAAAACGGAGTATAAAAAGTGACGAATCTGGTCGGCAAACAAAGTTGCTCTTGTCAACAGTTGATTTCTTTGTAACGATGCGCAAACAGTGAGATTACAACCTGTCACCAGGTGGCATTGGTTGTTCACTTTTCTATGCGCAGCCCAAGTTCGTCTGCTTCTTTTGCGGGGCTTGTGGTGACGTCAGAAAGACACCGAGCTCTGATTGGCTCTGATTGAAGGATAGTGGGTCCTCAAGTGCCTCAAGGCAGCTTGCTTTGGGGTCTACCCATTATCCCTTCAATCAGAGCCAATCATAGCTCGGCGTTATGACGTCACCACAACCCCAGCGAAAGAAGCAGACAAACTTGCGCTCCTGAGGCCCGGCGGTTAGAACATAAAATGACAGCCACAACAGCCGAGTTTTTAATCGCGCTGTTTCGTTTGTCCGTGCAGCAATCTACCTGGTGAGACGGTCTCTCAAAAACAAGCCGAAGTATGCCCTCGAAGAGTACGAACAGGTGAGGCCGCACTGCAGAGCACTACATGACACAATGCGATGAGAGTATACCATGTACAACCGTACACTGTAAGTGGTTAGTCTTAAAAAAAAACAGGAATTCCGCCTTTCTCAATTTTTTCAAAAGTATTTTTTTACAAAGAATATTCGTTTTTTTTTAATTTAGAGGTAATTGTTAAAAGAAATGTAACGTCACGCTTGACAACTGGCGACGTGACGTCACATTTGTGTCCCGCGGCCTGACGCCACGTGACCTGGTGGCGCAAGTGACCACGTGATGTTAGAGTTTAGCGCGAACCTAAGCGTTTTTATTATAGTTTTATACCTCTAGAACCGAAGCGTTACAGAGGGGTGGGAATTGGGATTTTGGTTTGCAACTCAACATTAAATTGTTACATCGATTCAAAGAAAGAATATTACTTAGTTACGGTGCAGCCTCAAACCTATTAAATATGTGCTTGTCGCTGAATAAGGGAAGCTGTTTCAGTCTCAGACGGTTTTGGGGATAAAAGAACTGTAAAAATAGATAGAATTTCAAGCGGGGACTTTGCACTCATGATGCAGATGTGAGGATTTATAGCTGGGATATCATTGATTAGTTAAGTTTTTAGATTTAAATTATCGTAATAAGGCTTAAGTAGAAAGCATAGACGACAGAGTGTGAGTGTACACCAGATGAAAAGGATATGTAATTAGTTTTATTGAGTTGACACTTGGCATACGACGGCAAGTGGGGACTATAGACCATGCTGACCTGTTTTGAACGGTTTCGAGGGCTGATATAAACATTTCTGTACAAGAAACCCATACTGAGCTTGCATATTCGAGTTCACTTGGAACTAATGTTTTGTTAATTAATTTATTTAGAAAAAGATTGGCTAAAGAGAAGTTCAATTTTTTTTAAACCAAGCATGCGATTACTTTTTTTGCATACCACACTTGGTGTACGTTTTCCATGATATGCTAGAAGTAACGCGTACACAATAACATTTCTTCTTTCAAATTTTGCTAAGCCTGCCTAACCTTCTTCACTATGAACACTTAACATGGGACGCGAGTTCATTTTCCTACCCACCCGCTAACTGTTGCGGAAACGCCGGAGAAGGTTGAGTACCATCGACCTCTTAGCTTCGTGTTACAACAAAATGAGCTGTCAGATGTTCTCTTTTTAAGGCTCGGGTCACCAATGTTCAACTGCGCTGTCCACAGAACGTTCTCACCTGTCATCTGCGTTCTCCATAGTCACAGATAAAGCCCGTTGACGAATGTCATTCTTCTAGTTTTTTTACAAGAACCGACAACCATTGTTGTGTGAACTAGCGAGACATGGGCCATGACCAAGTGTCCGCCGTTTGCTTCCAAGCACTGCACCGTCGCCTGCTACGACGTAATTTGTTCGCGTCATTCTCGCAGGAGGCGCTGCAGAGGCTCAAGAAGCTGCTCTACCACAAGTGGGAGTACGTGCTCATGCAGGCCAACGAACAGGCAACGTGAGTGAAGTGACTTCAGATAGTTTGTTTGGGCGAAATGCACGTGTATATAATAGGGTCCGCTGGATATCGGGGCGAGGGGACACTGATGCTTCATAAGCTCTTCTCCTGGTTACGCGACCGCCAGCTGGTCATTGACTTATAAAACCGGCTAAACAAATTTCATAAAAGAAAAAACGTGTTTTAGGCCCCTGTAGTAGGCCATTTTAGGCATTTAGTGCCATATAGTGACTCAAATATACACCTAAATCTTTTAATGCTAATGCCGGTTTGAATTTAGTGTCTATTCGAATACGGCAGACGTACGAAAGTTTGTGTTCTTCGTTGTACGCGTCCTTCTTTCTCCGTTCATTTCAGTTTCAGGGGTGTCAAGAAACTGTCACTCTGTAAGACGCGGTTACTTGAGTAAATCTCTCAATAATATTCACCACATTTTTTGTGTTATCAGATGTCTGGGGCGTGACCGAAGCCGAGCATTTTGAGGATTCACATGACACCCTCAAATGCGTACCATACAGAAGCTTGAATTCTCGCCACGCTGACATCGAATAACAGTCCAGCTAATTAACATCTGAAGTATTCAAGTTCCGCATCGGTGCCTGTCTTCAAATTCCTTCTTCATCAACCATAAAAAGGCAACCATTACAAGTACAGATTAGGCGATGATAGTTATCAAGGTGGCCAGATGAAATTTTGGAAAGGGTCTAGAAACTACGCCTCACAAAAAGCTGACTTACGTTAACCATGTTGAATATACCTGAGACTGGTTGTTTTGAGACGTCGTCCTGTCCCTTTCTGTCTCTTCGATTTTTATGTTCCTTTCTACCCCAGGCTCAGGTATATTCAACATGGTTAACATCCACCAGCTCGCCTGCACCCTTACTATTTTATCTGACTTCCGTGAAAATGTGACGCTAGCGGTTAGGAAAGAACGCGAAAGTTTGAGAACATTACGCTCCCTGGGCCAAAACACAAAAAGAAAGTGAAAATTTTGATATGAGCCGGTGTCCATTAAAGCCGGAAATCACCAAAACAAGAACTGATGTTGTTGACGCATGTGGCCTTTACATTGCCACGCGCGTCTCCGAGCAAGCGCGCCCGTGGCCGAATGGTTATCGTTGTTCGCTCCTCCCACGCAAAGGGCCGAGGATCGATGCCTGGGAGCGGACGCTCCTTTTTGTTACTTCTGTAAATGTCGCGCTCTGGTAAATTCGAGAACCCTGTTGCTTCTTCGAGGTCCGAATGTTTTACGTGCCGAACCTTCTAACGCGATTGTTCCAGAAGCCCACGCGTGTACTTAAGGGGCTCCGCGTGGCAAACCGCGGTCAGTTTTTCGCCAGCGCTCGATATACTGCTGCTAAGCCGACATCGACGCCTGCGACGCCCAGTTATTAAGAAGAAAGCCTTTTATGTCTCATCGTTCAGTCGACCTTCAAAGTCCTTGAGCGAAAACACGTCGGCGTCACGAAAAGTACCGAAACGTTTACGTGAACACTCAGTGGATGACTAAGCGAATTAAGATGATGACTCGGCACATTGAGAAGGGTGACTCAGCACATTAAGAGGGATGACTCAGCGAGTAAATCATGTGTCTGTCTTTAATGCATCGCCGCTTGGGCTTTCGCCTTCAAGTCGTCTTAGGGATAACATAAAAGACCCTTTGAATTTTCCACGTTTTGTTTGGCACAAGTTCGCCACATTAAAATTGTAGTTTCTCGATTTCACTCCTCCGTCTTGTCATGTGTCATGCATGAAAACATCAGTGAAAACAACATGTCAGCATGAAAAATAATATTGTTTTCGTTCTTGCTGAAAAGCTTTCTTGACTAAAATAAATCCTTAAGGCGCCCCCGTCGTAATTTTTTGTTTTAACTCTACTAAGCTTAGTAAGACATCGGCTAATAGAGAAATTTGGTGTTTCTTTTTTATTTTTCCATGCAGGAAACATATCGTTGTCAAACGTTCGCGTACTTTTCCAGCTACTAGCGTCACATTCTGACAGAGTTACAGCTTCCAGCAATGCATGTCTATATACGCCGGCCGAAAAACAAGCCTTCTTTTTCTTTTCTCAAAAACACCCGGAAGTACGGTGCTGCGAAAATTACCTGCTTTAAGTAGGGCCGTACTTACTGTTTGAGCTAGCAGTGATTGGCGAGCTGGTCAGTGGTGAACTGGTATTATTAAGTGACTCGGAAACTGATTCGATTGCATCTTTGTAGACTTGCCAAGGATCTGAAGAAAACTGACAAGCTCATCCAACAAAGCCAGGAGCGGGCCTACTGGAGGATTCACCGGCCACCCGTAAGCTTTTTCCACTCTAGCGATAACGACGAAAGGAATGATGTCTCAGAATGTCGTATATATTTGATAACAGTTTTTGGTTTTTTTCTTTGTTTTCTCCTGCCATGTTATAATTTATTCAGAACCAGCGTAATACCTGGGTAATTACTTCGGAACGTAATTTAATTACAGTGGAAACTCCTGCGGTACAAAATAAGTTAGATTGCAATAAAAATTACTAGTGCACAAAGTAATTAATCATAATGCATCGCTCTCGAAAATTAATGCAAATACTTCTCAATTAGCTTACTTTCAAAGCTACCCGGCTTCAATGACGTTAATTTTGATATCTATTTTACACGCTGTAATATATGTATATTTGTAGATTAAATATCTGACCATTTAAGATGCAGTATATTATATCGACGTACTTCTTTTATCCCCTGATGTGCCCTTGTTTCACTCACTTCAGTTGCTTTATTATAAATGCCACAAATATTCTAAGTGCTCTGTTTTTATTATGGCAATTCAAAATCTATGATTACTAGTGTTAACACGTATTGAAAATACATGATAGTGGCTTGGGCTCTTCATTATTGTCGAAAACGTCGACGTGAGCGGTGACAAGATATTCAATGGACAAATCACAATCGTGTAATTTGGACCCTTTCGCTCTCGCTCCTGACAACCGAAGGAACCGTCAATGCATGCAGGGCACTAACTTAAAAAGACACTGAAATTTAAAAAAAAAAGGATTAAATGGCCTAATATAACACAGTTTTTTTGTTTTTTTATAACAAAAAAAAATTGCATCATTTTGGCCGTTAGACGCAATTTATGCGGAGGTCAGGGCCCGCTCTACGCCCCCGCTCATTACTACTGGATTGACTTGACTGCTCGGCCGAACATGCTCGCAAGTCTAGTGGCTCTCTGTCGCGAAGTCCTGTGCGTCTAGTCTACCATCTGACACCATTGCTAGTCCTGTGAGCAGACGCGCGGCATGCTCCGGCATCCTCTGCTATTGCACCACCGTTTAAAACCGTCTGCAGAGCTCGCATGACGCGATCATGGAAGTGACTACCTAGTGTTTCATCATGCACGAGCCACGGCCCAATAAGAACTAAAAAATAAAACAATATATGTGCAGTCTTTTCATTTTTTTTTTTTGTTATTGTTTTCTTGCATAGTGTACGCGAGCGAGGTAGGTGAGCGTCATGACACGCAATTAAAACGCGACCTAAAAAGGTTGGCTCTAGAAAACTACGTGCACCACTCAGAGCTTGAGACCTACAGGCCTTCCGAAGCATAAAGTTATTATAATGTACGCGAGAGGTTAAAGTGGCGCTGGTGTCTATGTGACTTCCAAGGTGTAAACTGAAGCAGACAGCAACCAGTCTAGTTTTGCGGTTCACCTGTGCATTCCTGTTAAAAGACGTGCGTGCATTTGGTTTCTACGCCAAAAAATAACAGAAATCACTTTTGTTCTTTGGGTCGTACCGAATAGTATGTACCTTAATTAACATTGTAAAAGTGTAATTGTTTTAGTTCGAGCATTTTTAATAATCACTGAAGGGTGTTGAACTTCGCTACGTTTCAGGCCCAAACCTGTGTTCCACAGAAGCTTGTGTAAACACGGGCGACGAATATAAGCAAAATAGCAATCAAAATGAATGTAGAGTGAGTTCAAGGTTCCCCATCATTCTGGTGATTCTTACTTATTGCTAATTTGCCAGTCCTGTCACATGTACCGTATTTGCTCGAGTAATAGCCGCACTGTTTATGAAGAAAACCAGAGGGTTCGTTTTTCCACGGACCACGCGAATTGCGAATAACCGCGATCGACAGCATGATTCCAGTGGTTAACAGGACAGAGATAACGTCTTCGCACGAAGATACCATATGGGAAGATTGCATCCGTATGGAAACTCGTGTTCTCGATCTAGTTATTCGCTGTGTTATTTATGCGCAACGCGATGATTGGCTGTATATGTGTTATGTGGGAAAGTAGACGCAAGGGCCTTGTTCATAAATAGTGCGGCTATCACCCGAGTAAATACGGTATGAAAGTAACCTCCTCGTCTATCATTACGAGCGGTTAAAAACATTCATAACGTAAATAAAATAGAATAAAGTACCTGGGTTATGAAAGGTGTCTCTTCTTATTACTTCCTATGCCAGGCCGCTTTTATCGGGCACCTGGTTTTCTGACCTCTATATTTTCAAAGATTTCGAGCGTGCGGGTGATGTTTTGAACGCAGAACGAGCATCATCGTACATATGCACGAGCAGAGAAAATAAAGCAGTGCTTGCTTATTGCACATCGGACTGGTAACAATTGGCCTTCACTTTCTGTCGATCATCTGCATGCACAGGGAGTTACTCATGCCGTGTTACGGCGTAGTACATGCCGTCTCTCTTGGTGTTCCACACGTCCTTCCTTCGCTTAAATCCCCCATGCAAAAATGCGCCGGCGCCAGCGGCGTCACGTTCATGCCAGTAGTGCCCGACATTGCGCTCAAATGCATCTACGAAGCTGTTTTAGCTGTGTGTTTAATCACATAAAATTGATTTAAAGAATTAAAAGCCGTTTACAACTTTCTGTAACACCGAATTAGAGCGCAGCTCTTGGGCAAAAGGATGGAAGGGTACTGAGGGGAGGGTATACCCCTCCTCCGCCCCCTCACCTCCTCATCCTGCCTCATATCCTCCTCCTCCCCTCTTCCCTTCCCCTCTTCCCCCTCCTCTTCCTCCGTCCTCCTCCCCTTCTATCCTCCTCCCCTCCTCCTCGTCCTCCCCCTCCTCCTCCCCTCCTACTCCTCCCCGCGTGGTGCATCATGGGAAATGTCCCATAACGTACCGCGTGAAACCCTCGTGATGTCACATGTTTAGCGCTGAAAACACGTGGACTTCCATGCGACTTAAAATAGAAACTATGCTTAATTATCATTATAAATTCCAAGCTAGCTAACTGACCGTGCGCCGGGATCAGATGAAATGAGAATGGCGGTTTTGTGAGAGCTTCAGCCTCGGGACGCGCGTGTTCATGCCCCAGTGGTCTTTCGCACGTGCAAAAGGCGCACTGGAGCTTGTCGGCGATGCTTCTTCTTTACTGGCATCTGTTGGGTTTTTGACGGCCACACACGTAACGTCACGAGTGGCGTCACGAGGGTCCCGCGCGGTGCATTGCGGAAATTTTCTCATAATGCACCGCGCGGTTACGCCGACGCCGACGCCGCTCAAGCTGGAAACGGGCGCCTAAGAGCTGCGCTCTAAAATAAACGCTGTAAATTATCAATATCTTTTTTTACCTGATTGAGAAATGTTTCAAATTATTTACTGCGATATAATTATTCGCAATATTTGTTCTTATAATCAAGGGCAGAGAAAAAAACGTACTCGGTTTTCTCCGTAGAAATGCGTTACCGGAAGTCAGTTTTCGATTAGGGTCTGTTTGCTTCATTTTGCAACGGCACACTTGCGCCAGCTGAACCTCTAGCGTACATTATAATAACTCTGTGTACCGGAGCGAAAGGACGGAAACATACATGGACAAACCTGATGTGAGGCAAACACCCGATAGCTTGCAGCGAAATAGCTCGCAAATTCTTACCTGTGTGAGGTACCTCTTAGTACTGAAACCATTGTCACAATCACGACAGCTGCACGATTCTCAAAGTAGAGGAGCTGCTTTTACGGGAACTAAAGCTTTTATTCGGCATCAAAACGAGCAAACGAACAACTCAATCCAGTTCGAGCAAATCTAGTTGACGTGGGACGCTAAGCTTACACCTGTTCCGCTACGATAACAAGCTCCTTAACAGCGCTTTCGAAGGCCTGTACTTCCGACAGTTGTGTGGTGCAAATTAAGTCGTTTCAGATTTTCCTCTGAGCATCTCGGTGAACGGGAGACAACTCGCCGCGGTCTGTTAACCGCCATCACGAACGCCGGCAGCCATGTTTGTTATCGTTTGAAACCGAAACGGAAAAGGCGATCTCGTGATATCTTTTTGAAAACAGTAATGAGTCGATCTATATCATTTGTTTCCTAAACATCAAAACATATCGAATGAAAGACCAAAACGGCAGAGAGAAACAGATTTATAATCAACATTCCACACGTCAATCACCTCGCAAGACAATCAGAGCTAAAAACGAAGCTAAAAATGCTAAGCACCTTTTGTTATGGGCGGGGATTAGAGAGGGCTTCCTCCACCTAAATTGCGTCTAAGGGCTTAAATATTAGGCTAAAAAAATATTTTTTCGTTTAATTTTTTAATACGTTCGGCGCGTAGAACATACGCAACTCGATCAGAAAAGAAAGTTATCAAATTTGCGAGAATGCCAAGTGGAAATAATAAATGAAAGAACACTCCGCTGCCTGGAATCGAATCCAGATCTCCGCGACAGTCAAGCACGGTAACCATTCGGCCACGTACGCGCTCACTCAGCGACCCGCGTGTAAATATAAGCAGCACTCGTAAATTATATCAATAGAGGCTCGGTACTACGTAGTCTTAAACGCGAAAAACTCGGGGATGTAAGGCTCTTGAAAAGCCTCTAGTTGTTGAGGGTAAAGTCACCACCGTACCCTACCCGTAACACAGAGAAATGGAAGATGGTCACTCGGCGAACAAATTATGGCTCTCAAATGCTAAATTTCGCACAACCCCACTAATTACATAATCTTTGTATTAAATAGTACGGATCCAGACGGTTTAACATATAAACACTTAAGGTCGTATTTTTTGTACGATTTCGCAAAGCATGCTCTTTTGTTTTAAGTTTGTGCGCTTCTCTAAGCACATGATTCTTGCCTTTTAAACCTTAGTTTGTTCTAGAGTTCAAGTTGCTGTTTGTTTCTGTATTTTTCTACGATTGCTGTTGATCATCGTAGGGAAACCAGTGCTTGTCAGGCTGTACACTACAGCTCTTTTCTTTTCTTTCTTGGGTCTCTCATTATAATTGATTGAACATAAAGTTATTAATATTATTGTCTTCTGTGCCCCTCTACTGGTACTGTGGCTCTGACAGTAGCTCAACTGTGCGGCCACAGTCGGCGCACTGACGCGTTCTGAGAGCTTTCAAAGCCCCGGGATTTGACTGAGGGGAATGGGAAAGACGTTTTGTGTATTTTCGCATATCTCAGTGACGTCATGAGAGAATTTTCAAATCGACATCGAAATTGGAAACTTACGGGGGCTAAAGAGAAATTCAATTACACGTACGATTAATTTTAGTCAAAATTAGTGAATTGCAATCACGAATTACTCAGAAAGTATTTAAATTACAGTGATTTAATTACTGCAATTCAGTTACTACCAAGTACGACCAATAAAATATAGAAGCACTTGTTGCGGACTCTGATTAGCAGTTGACAAAGTTATTAAAGCTGAAGCTAGTGAGATGCGTCTTGCATGTTTAATAAACGACGAGTAAATTCGTCTTCTCCTTACGATACATGATACAGATATGAACACGCTACAGGAAAAAAGTAACTATACAGCGTTACTCTTTACTTATTTAAAAATAATGAAGTACGTTACCAATTATCGAGATTCGAAGGGAACGCATGCTCCAAAGACACACGTTACCTGCTATTTACACTAAGCGTGTTGTTTTCCCAACGCAGTAGTCGCCTTCCAATGTTTCGAGTCTTTTCCCTGCTCTCGCACGTATTCATGGGCATACTGAATGGTGACACCAGCAATGTGTGGGATGAAAGAATCACCTGTGCATAATTGGGGTTGGTGTGGTTCTAAGCATCGTTCGTGCATGTGCGAAGAAATAAAAACGCGAAACAAAAAACGTGGGTATTCACTTCGATGTACTACCTCATTGCTGAGGCAATATTATCTTTTTCTGCTCCAGCACAGCACGATCCTTCGATCGAACGTTATTCCTTTGAGCCAAAATTAGTTGGTACAGCTGAGGCGACGGAGCCGTCAAGGCGGGTCTCATTGGTGCCCAAAAGCGATGTCAACCGTGCCCTCTATGTTTCTGGTTTTCTTAAGCAGTAGCAGACCAAAAAGCTGTTTACAAACACGCTCGCGTTTGCCCACACTAAGTGCGGGCACTGCGCGTGCGCGGAAACCGAATTTCCCGTCTGCTCATGCACAGTGCCGACTGCAGCGCCACCACAGCGGCGTGAATTTAGAGAGTTGAGTTCACTGATATCTATGTCTATTTGCTGGATCGCGTTTGACCAGCTCCTCCTATGGACCGGAATGCGGTCACTGGCGGCCATCTTTAGGTAGAGTTATATCATCTCTAGCCATCATAGTAATATGGCGGACAGCGCAATGGCGGCAGGCTGCCATAAAAATAGCCGTAGATCTAGTACACTGTACCGTGGGTGAAATTTCGTGCTTGATTGAAGTTGTTCGACGAAGCAGATTCTTGAAACCCGGCGTGAACGGTAGCCTCATCTTTGAGGACCCGGCAAAAGTTCTACGAAAGCGCAGCACCGGGGGAAAGCAGCGCAGCTCGCATCAAAAGCAGACTCCGTACCGTCGTCTGCTTTCGATGCTTCTTTCGATGCGAGTTTCGATACGTGCTGTGCTGCTTTTCTCCCGGTGCTGCAATTTCGTGAAACTTTTACCAGGTCCTCAAAAACCGGACTATTGTTCACGCCAGGTTTCAAAAACATGTTTCGTCAAATAATTTTAATCAAGCACGCAATATCACCCACGCTATTTTGACCGCAGCCTGCCAACCCACCTGCCAAAACGCTATCTGCCATGGATGGATGATAGCGGCTGCAGCAGCTTACAGTGGCTAGAGGTGATATAACTCTACCTAAAGATGGCCGCCAGTGACCGCATTCGCGGAGCGGGCAAACGCGATCCAGCAATTGTCATAGAGATCAATGGTTGAGTTAGCCTTCAGGGTCAAAAAAACCTCTGAAGGCGGGTAAGCAGGAAATGTGTAGGTCGGTCACTTCGTAACCGCTATACGATCTTGAAAAGCGAGCGGCAACCGGTATCAGGGACCGAACCCTGCTCACGAGCGTGGATGCCGAGTACACTACTGACAGAAGTACGCACCCAGCACGAAGGAACGGAAGGAACAGTAACAGACGGTGTGAGAAAGCGCGAAGTGAAGAGGGTTGGAAAGGGCAAGAAAGAGAGGAACAAAAAGAGGTGGTGCAGAAAGAGCGTGCGGAACGAGGACCAGTGGAAAGGGCAGGAAAGCGAGCTTCGCCGCTTTTGGTGATCCGGAAAATTCAGCGCAAAAGCTTTGTATCCGGGTGGTGCTGAAGGAAAGGGCGCATAGCATCACAAAGAGACAGTGGTGCGACGTAATCTGTTGCCATACAAAGCTCTGCTAGGCGCAACCTCAACTAAGAGCACCACCCACCCGGGGCACTGAAAGACTAAGGGTCGTCCTGCCCTAGGCAGGATGACCCTTAGTGCACCACCCACCCAAAAAAGGTCCCTAATTTAACTGCAGTAAACTTGACAATCGGGCTAGTTGGTAGTCTAACATATTGAAGTATTTAGTGCACAAAGTAAAGAGAAGAATTACTTTGTGCGCAAAATACTTCAGTATCTCGAATTTAAACGCTTTTGAAAAAATGGCCAAACATGCAGCCAATTTTGGTGTGTGTGTGTGTGTGTGTGTGTGTGTGTGTGTGTGTGTGCGCGCGCGCCTGTGCGCGTGTGTGTCTTGTAATGAAGTTGAAAGAGTCCTTTTTTGGTAAGATCTCGTTCAACCCCAATACCGCCATCTTCATTTGGAGTGCAGTTTGAAAAGGCATTTCACTGCGGTTGTTGAGTTCTGTTTTCTTGTACGCGCCGTACCAGAGTGCAGTGATAAAGTTTTTCAGTGCCTTCCGCAGAGTACAGTATTACTTGGAAACGGCCTAGCTCAAGATAAGAATTAGAGCCAACTGGAGCGTGGGTAAAGAAGTGATAATTACAAGCAGGAAGGTTTGTGTTTCTGATAATCCCTTCTGTACCCTAATTACTAGATTAAACTGCAGAGAAAAGTACGCGAAGTCAAAGCACGATGGAAGGCGTGGCGCGCTCTGTCGTTCTCACTCTCTCTGTCACTATGGCTGAAGACGTGTCTTGCGTGCAGCCCGGATGCACCAGCTGCCTTGAGAAGAGCCCCGTGCCCAACAAGCGGGGACCGCCTAGGAAAAAGACGAAGGACGACCTCAAACGGGAGGTACGAGAACTTCCGACGTGTCTCTTTCTCTCCGTTCGTAAGCTCACGCTCAAATGCTGTCCTCTCGTTCTCTCTTCCAGATCGAGATACTAAAGAGGAACCTAGGGCGTTCGCGGACAAAGGTGTCCCAGATTCTACCGAGGTACGCAGTTGTCCTTAGATTACTTGAGGCTGCTGTTCTAAAAGTGCTAGCACTCCTGTCATTCTTCAGTAAGTACTACTATAGTGCGCAAGATTGGCAGTCTGAAAGAACCCGGGCAACAAGTACTTGAACGCATTTTCGATGACTTTCTGCAGTGTCGCTGGTTGTACTTACCACAAAGGCTGCAATAAGCCGCAAATACACAAAATTTTCCAAAACTCAAGTCACACTGCTTATACATCATACAAAAGACAGGGTTGAAGGTGAACATTCGAGAAAAGTCTCTCTGGCTGGGGAGCAACCAACGGCCATAGCCGCAGTCAATCCCTGAAGAAGAGACCGACCAGGTCTCGAAACGTAGGGTTCCCCCTTTAAACAAGGATTTGGTTGGTGTATATCTTTATTTATTGTTAAAAGACAGGGTGTCCGCTGTAGAAATGATGACAGAATTATCTGCGGACGCACCTGAAGCATCTTAGAAGCATGTTGGCTTCGAACATGCTTGAACATGTCTGCAGGCAGTTTTTGTATGACCAGTGTGAGGACCGTCGCATACGACCATGGACACCGATCCGCCCCACGTTCCATGACAAACGCAATGTGTATCAGACATCTTGAAGCTCCAGACTTGTAATAGTGGACAACAGATATGGCAGTTGGTGGGGCGGAATCACGACGACCTGGACAAAGCCAACAAGGCCTATGGGCTACGTCCATGTCGATGCGTTTTATCGCCTTGTCCGTTCTTGCCTAGATCTCGGATTTAGCCTGTCTATGTTTTATCTTTCGTGAAAGCGTACATTCATATTATCGTGTTTTTTTTTTACATCTTATCGAGTGGCTTTTTCTAGTTTATAGCTGAGAATTGAGCTGAAGAATGATTTCTAAAATTGTGGTGTCTCTTTTTAGCGTAGCAAAACGCTAACGGACTGAAATTAATTTAATGTTTCCTGATGGGATGACCGATCACTGCAGGTGCGAAGACTACCGGGAATTCGACAGCTTCCTGAGCAACCTCCCTCCCGGCAACCCGTGGATAACGGACGACCCGACGCTTTGGACGGTGGAAAGCACCATGTACGTTTCTTGGACCAACCAACTCGCACCTTGACCTCGTTAGCTGGCCTCCGGCACTTCTTAAGGGGGCCCTAAAGTTGTTTTGTTTTTAATACTTTATTCATGGTAATAACACAATCTACGAACTCTAAGCCTTCCAAGAACAAAACAAACAATCAGGATTAGATTGATACGCTTCTCATTTCCGTACTAACCATGTATCAAAGACCACGACAGTCCCATTTTTCTGCTGTTCGGCTCAGAAACCAGAGGCCACCGTCGGACGTGTGACAGCCATTCGCGAGCGATCAGTCTGTTGAAATATTTGATCCCGTCTTCAATAAGGAATTCGGACGCATATCAATCAAGTCTTTGTTGTTGTTGTTGTTTTTTCTTGTTTTTTTTAGAATGCTTACAGCCTGTATGCTGAGTTATGATTATTGCTGCCATGGCTTATGACCTTGGCTTAATACTTGATCTCGTGTTTTTAAATGATAAGCTGAGTCCATCTTCCTTATACATATACAAATGAGGAGGATAATTCTGACCACAAACTGGTAGAGGTGACCATACCGGCTAGAAATAACAATATTTCTTAAACGAAACTTGTTAGAGTACCGGATCACAAAATGGCTGATGATGTTACCGTACAGGACCATCTGGAATAGTCATTTGAGAGATTTTCTAGCTATGCCGATACTTGTGGTGAGGATGTAGATCAACTGTTGTTGTACTTGTGAACATTTTTGAACACCTGTGTCCAGCGACATGTGGCTTTTTGAGAAATAAGAAAAGCAATGTGACAAATCCATGGATTATTTTAGATATTCTTTGTCTGAACCGTAAGATTGCTCCAGGAGAAAAAATAAGCTAGATAGTGCTGTTTATGCTCCTGATGGAACAACCTTCAGCTTAAAGGGGCCCTCCGGAGCTTTCTGCGATCGACTGTTTATGTTGTTATATTGCGTAGTAGATGCATGTTAATATGTATACAAAGATTTAGATTACAAAACCGTTTATTAAGCGGATGGCAGTAGAAATATATCGGCACTATTTTCTCTTGGAAGACAATCCCCCATTCCCTGCCCATCGCTAAAACTGGACCAATGGAAATGCTGCATCTCGCAGTGAATGCGAACGTGATTATTGCAACACTTTTTAAGCTTGTTGTAAATTAGAGTTTGAGAAAAACGTAAACTGATTGCGGTGCGGGAAACAGAGTCCGTAATTATCGCTCCAAAACCAGCGAACTATGTTTTCTCCCCGCAAGCTTGCTGCTAGGGGTTGATGCGTCGGCGCGTCGGCTCGTCTGCTTCCCGGGACGTCTGCAGGCGTGCGTTTGCGGGACACGTGTTCCTTCTTCCCGTGGATCTCGACTCCGAAGCCAGCTTTGCGATCCTTCCACGTCAACGAGTCAAGCTTTTCCTTGTCATCTGTGGAATGCGACTGCGTATTGCAGTGGCAGCGCGACGGTGCGGTGCGACGAACGACGACTGCCGAGCACGAAGTCCGGGCTCCTTGACGACGGTCCGCGCGTGTTCGAGAGATTCCTCCGCGGGTCGGCGGTCGGCCGCGTTGGTGACGCGCAGAGACGCCGGAATCCTTCGCTTGCTATTGGCTGACGCGTAAAGAGAAGCCCCTCCCGTTTTCCGGGGTCATCTCAGAAAAGGGGGCGTGCCGGGTACTTTGATAGCAATTTTAATAGGGAAATTCGCCGCGCATGACGGTAATTTTATGATTTTTAGGATCCTTGGGGCCTGTAGATTGAGCTACCGTCATAAATAGACCATCGCATAACGCTCCGGAGGACCCCTTTAAGTGCCGAACTAAAACAAATGACAGCCGAGTCAAAACAATTTTCTTTAGCATGACGTTGAGATCGTTCTTATTACAAGCACTACAGAACTTTTGTCAGTATGCCTCAACTTCAAAGCGGGAATTGTTGACAACAACTATAACTCCAAATCAATTTAGCACAGTGTTCGTATCTATATTTACCATGGATGACGGATGTCTCTTAGGGATAGCCCCTGACATGCCTCCCGGCATTGAGGACGTACTGCTCTTGGAGGAGGGAATTTTTTCATTTATTAAATAACGTTGATCCATAGAAATGTCCTGGTGCTGATTTCATTCATGATGAGTTTTTGAAACCTTACGCAGAGTGAATTTCAAAATAACTATTCATAATGATTAAGGCGTTTTTGCGTTGGGGGAGGGGGTACTACCAAAATAATAGAAAATTGAAAAAATTAATCCTATTAACAAATTCAGGAGATAGAAACAGCCTATCGAACTATAGGCCTGTCTTTAACTAGTACCTGATGCAAGCTTCTTGAACGCGTAATGCTTTCACATATGATTCATTATCTTGATGATCATAATGTTCTTACTCCAAGCACGTGGTCTTAGAAGATCATTACCAACGAGTACTCAGTTGATGGAACTAGTTCATGAGCTTTCAAATTCAATAAATGTTAGGAGTCAGACAAACCTAATTTTTCTTGACCTTTCAAACGCGTTCAATCGCTTATCGCATCCTGAACTTCTCCTGAAGCTTAATTTATGCTATTTTTAGAAATGATAAATTAGTTACGTGGGTGGCCTTTTATTTGTGTAATAGAACGCAACATGTAAATCTTGTTGACAAGGCTTACTACTTCCAGTAACATTGGAGGTACCACAGGATTCAGTGCGAGGGCCTTTTTTCTTGATTTATATCAATGATATTGTTACGGAAATTCATGTTCCGGGTTAAATTATTTGCTGATGACTGTGTTATTTACCCTCAAATAAAATCAACCCAAGATCAAGTTATACTTATTGAGGTATCAACGAAAAATAAGAAATGGTTAGACAAATGGCAAATGAAAATAAACTACGATAAAACCATTGCAATGTCAATAACCTGGGAAAAGAATCCTTTGAAATATAGTGATTCAATGAATGCAAACCCCATCAAATTTGTTGACCACTACAAGTACCTTGGAGTGGCAATAACTAGTAAACTACTTTGGAACCAGCATATAGATGACATAGATAATAAGGCCAAGGAAAATTTGTATGCACTTAGACGCACCTTAAAATTCCCGGATAGCGAAACAAAAAAGACTGCTTATGAGTCACTCGTACGACCTGTACTAGAATACGCTCACACAGTTTGGTACCCGCACAGAGCAGATGGGATTCCTAAACTTGAAAGCGTGCAAAACTTATATCTAATAACTTCAGATATAGTATGTCTCAGTCACGTTAACTGGAATAAGCCAACATCCAGCCATTGGAGGTTAGAGCTAAAACAAACAGGTTGAGAAATCTATATTCTTTTATCAATGGAATCTTTAATGTCAATAGTGATAGATACATCGAATTTTCAACAAGAAGTTCGGCTAGAATATGTCATACTAGGACTATTAAACGGTATAAAATTAAGTACGATGTCTCCAGATATTCTTTTGTTTCCCTCGGGCATTTAAGGAATGGAATTCTTTGTCTAACAAAATGGTAGCCCTTCCGTCACTTGATATTTTTTGCTGAGGCAGCCGCCTCTGCCATGAGAACGTGCTCGTAAGCACTTCACGCCAAGTCAGAATGTAACCAGTCCTGCCATCGCTCGCAGATGTGAGCCGCAGTATATTTAAATAAACAAATAAATAAAATAAAGAAACAGCCTTAGATGTTAGTGTCCTTTTATTTTTATTTTTTTCTGAAGAATCATAATTTGTGGTGTGCACGCGCCTCTTTCTTTCCAAAGATATCAAAATGGCGATTTTTTTTAACAGCTGGATTGTCCTCGCTAGTGAATCTCAATTTAATAAACTATTTTTTTCTATTTTGTTGGTTTGTTCTATCGTGTTTTTTTTTTTTTTTAACTACAAAAAGAGGCAATCGGCCAAGAATCTCACTGGTTGGACGATGCTCTATTTTTGTTAATTCTAAATATCCAAGTCAAGGAGATTAGAACACTTGGAGAGGGCATGACGTTATTTGTTTGAAGCCTATACTCCGTATCACCCTATAGGAGCCATAGCGAGTTTGAGTGTACATTCGTATTTTATATGGAACTTTATTGCGAAAACAACCGAAAGAAACTTGTCAAGCTCAACGACTCGAAATGTGAACGAGATTTCGGAGAGCCTTCGTTCACACTGGGTCACGTGATGGCCGAAGTCTCGTAACTCATTCCGAATATGTTTCGGAACCGTTCCTGACTTAAAATTATTCTCGCGACATAATATTGCGCTAACACTTTTCATTTCCGGAGAACGCCCAGTTTGTGACACACGAATCCAATCTAGGTACTTCAAAAGGTTTTTGGGGGAGAGTTGTGCTATGGTGCCTGGAGCGCGTCTTCGACTTATGCGTTTAGCGTCTTATGCTGCCCATACATAAAAATTGGTCCCGAAGTTCCAACGAATGACGTCGCAGAAGCCGGAGTGTCATGCTGTTGCATGTCGCGATCCTGGCGGTCGGTCGCAGAAATGCTAACGAGAAGCTGCGAGTACCACTACCGAACGCGAGTGTCGCTGTCGTCGCGGTGTCCTAACTTCCGGCTGCTCTAGCTTCCGTGGACTGCCACACTGGAGAGCGACCTGCAGCGGAACAGGCGTCTGCCACATGCACCACAGCTGTCGGGGCGCTACCAGGAACGCGACCGGCGACAGCATGACACTTCTATGTCGTCATCAAGCGGAAGTCGAGGGGCAATTTTTCTGGACGCGGTAAACACACCGGTTGCAGACACCTTCCAGTCACCATAGTTCTCTGTATTCTTAAAGACGAGCTCCGGCGATTTTTCGCGCTACCCAAACTACGCGCATTTTCGGGACACGCAGGCTTTACTCTTTTCAGCGTGCTATTCATCATCTCTAAATTTAAAATTGCTTTCAAGAAAATGGCAAATGGGGGTGATACCAAAAGCAATTTTTAAATATTTCTCTCTCTCTCTCTCTCTCTCTCACTCTCTCTCTCTCCGTCGGGGTTGACGTCACATATTGTCTAACAATTGCGAACCGAACAGGCAGTCTAAAAGACTTCGTATGTTGCCCACGTTTCTTTTTAGTTTTCGGTTCGCTGGCTTCAGCTTAACCAGCACTCGTTTCACACCCTCAAACTTCTTATGACCTGCCGGGAACAAGCTGTACTACACCCATATTACATCTGACGTCGTGCTTTCAGTGTTGCCATCAGAGCCTCGCAGCCTCTCAGTCTGAATTTGAAAAATCAATAACTTAGCGAAAAAAAAAAGATTATTGTGGCGTGTCATGTAGCTTACTAGGTGAGATATGCCTATTAATGTGTCGAACCAATTTTGAGGGAAATCAGCGACTAAGATTCGCCGGAGGCGAAATTGTGCAGCACTGTTATCTTCCCGCACAGGGTGGATACGCCGAGCGAGAAGCGTCTCAAGCGGTGGGCATTGTCCCTGGAGGAACTTCTATCGGACCCGACGGGCGTGCACGAGTTCGAGATCTACCTGCGCAAGGAATACAGCCACGAGAACATGCTCTTCTGGAAGGCGGTCCAAGACCTGCGGCACGGCTCACATCAAGACATCGCCAGGAAAGTCACCGCCATCTATGAGTGAGTGTCCGCATGTTGACTCGGAAAAGCATTTTTTTTAAATATGAAACTCCATCGTAGAAGTTGGGGCTAGTTGGTATTTCATGATTAAAAATTAAAACAGCGCAAGGACACGGACAAGACAAGAAGGTAGACCTTCTTGTTCTTGTCCGTGTCCTTGCGCTGTTTTAATTTTTAATCATGAAACTCCATCATTCATTTTGTCTTGCTTATTTCTTGCACTGCTTATTACTTTCTTTCCATGATGTGTACAATCATTAAATTAATTTCAGATTAAAGAACCATTATCTGACTATAACTTAATGTCGCCGAGGTACCTCCACTACGTAATGTACTAATGCCACAAAATCAGAACGCAGAAGGAAGAAACGAGAACATAAAATGGCACAAAAAGAGGAGCACAAGCATAAATTACCTTTCGCATTTGCCACGAACTGCACCCTCTCCACGTAACACCGTTCGGGAATAAATGTATTTCTATGAGTATCTGTATCTGTAATCTGGAATACTCTTTCGCCGTTATTGCGGAAGTGTCTGAGGGATATCCCGTTGCGCAAAAGACAAATGTATCTCAGTATCGGTATTTTGGTATTAAAACATATGTATCTCAGTATTTGTATTTCCGAATACTTCTTGGAGGATCTCTGCCCAGCCCTGGTCCTAAGTAAACGAGAGTTTATTTAGATCAAGTAACGTAGTAAATACACCGGACGCAATGTTTTTGAAGTAAAGTACTATTACTACAATGTACTATCAAAGTAAAGTATTAGAAGTACTTTCATTCGCCTATACAGTGTTATTTAACTGATATAGTTAAATACCCACGATTACCCCCAGGGTAATCGTGGGTGCATCAGTTACTTTCACAAATGTAGGCGAATATCGGATAAGCTCAAGTGGCCACAGAGTACTGATTTTCGGAAATGGTACCAAATTCAGAAGTACCTCCGACTTCTGAATTTGGTGCCGCTTGCATGGCTAGCACCCAAGGGGGTTAAGGGGTGATGTGGGGCTTAAGAGTAATTTTTTTATTTATAAAGGAATACTTATCATATTATACACTGGTATAACACATCTCACACCTATTCCAAATATGCAATCAGATATTGAATATCTTTACTAGAACCTGAGTTATGGGAGATTGGCCTAATTTGATTAGGTCATTTGTTACGGGTCGTTAAAGAAAAAGTATTCGTAAGTTATCAAAATTTTTAATGCAACTGTATTCACAAAAGTGTAATTTGTGCGGTGATGCTATTTTAGATCTTAACTGAGAGGGTTATGTCACTAAAAAACTATTGCAATTATAGTGTAAAAGAGATGCTCTCTCATTATTTAAGAAAGTAATTAATTGGATAGAACTCTTAAGCTGGAAGACTATAAAAATAGCATCACCGCACAGCTCCTTTCTTCGCGATTAAAATGGCACCAAAAGTGTTAATATTGTCCAAGACAAACTTCAGAAAATGCCTGTAAGGCATCGGTACTTGTGAAAAAAGTGTGAAGAGAGAAAAAAGCCCTTGAAGTATGTGTATTCCTACTGAATGTTCATAGAAAATTAAGACTTTATATTTTTCTTTCATACTTAAAAATTAGATAGAGCAATAATATTTTGCACAGAGCTGGGTGGGTATGTCTAAATTCCAGAAAAGCCATTTTCTCAAAAGTGAATTTTCTCCAACTTTTTACCATTTAAAGACCAGCCTCCCCTATAAGAGAGCATGACGTCAGCCCCGTAGCTTCTACATGCGGTCCCTCGTAGAGGAATGTCCTTTCTTTCTTATATTTTTAATTACCTCGTTCGCGCTGGCCGAGAGAGAATTAAAGCGTGAGAGGCGCGTTGGTGGAGACTTAAAATAGACAGAAAGAATAAACACAAAGAGGACAAGAACACAGACGAGTACGTATCTTTCATGCGTATCATACGTATCTTTCATACGTACTCGTCTGTGTTCTTGTTCTCTTTGTGTTCATTATTTCGGTGTTGTTGTTTTCGAGCGAGAATTAATGAGATATCATAATGCTGCGGGGAAGCCGCCCTCAGTACAAAGGGAGCGATGAGTCGTCTGCTCGCGTTTCTTGTGAGAGTAGAACATCTTCCCATCGTTTCGTTAGAGTTGACAAGGCATCACTTTGCACTAAAAACATGAACAATACCAAATCTGGTGAATTAACTTCAAAGCAGGGATGGGCAAAATACATGCAAATATGTATCGAAATACAAATACAAAATACTTCTTCAAAAATGTATTTAATTACTAATCTAATTACATTTCCAAAAAAGCATTTAAATACAAGATACAAATACAACCAAATGTATTTGGTCTCCTCCAAATACTTTTCCAAATACATTCCTCAAAATTTGCGTCAGCGACTTCAGGGCACGTGCAACGGGTTTCTGGGTATCTCATTTTAATTTTGCATCGCACACTCGGGAGTTAGTGTGCGAGGCTCTAGTAACGTAATAGAAATATAATAAAAAAATGTAATCAACTTGGCCGTAGGCAAAAAAAGTACAAAGCTTCAAGCAGCTTTTTTTGTCGACTACATTTTGGTATAGACCAACAAAGAACCGAGACGACCGAGATGCGCAGCACTAGCTAGAGAATGTTTTATTGTTGCAGCTCGCACCAGTTACGAAAATTTGACGACCCGCGCATTTAGAATGTTCCAGGCAAAAATATGGATGGAAATCAGGCTGGAAAGCGCCACAAGTTGTCACAGGCACTTATTTAGGCAGTCTGCCTGTGAAGGTCGATTTCGTCACTATTCTTGCCCTGGACTACCACCGTAATCACAAAGTCACTAAACGCTCGTGCTTGATTGAGAGACACTGCATTTGGTGCAGAACGCAGTTTTCTTCCTGTTCTGGACAGTGTCTTTAAAATAAAGCCGGAGGAGAAAAAGAAAAAAAGACCCATGGCCGAATAAACAATGGAGACTATATCTTACAACCACATGCATAAAAACAAGAATCGTAACTTTTGCAATAACATTTATTTAGCATAATAGAGGCAAGTGTCGCGGGCGCCCGGCGTGCCCGGGCGCCCGCGGTGACCGAGACGCGAACTGCCGCAGGACTGGTGTATGAAGAGATGAAAAGTTTCTTGGTTTGTTGTTGCTGTTGGCGTTGAGATGAAGAAAGAGCAGCTTTGGACACGTCTTAGGATGAGCAAAATGAGTCGTGATAATAAATTTGGGGGATGTATTTTGGCTTACAAAATTGTATCTAATTACAATTGTAGGTGAAATACCCACGTTTTTGTATTTAAATGCACATGTCAAATACATTACCCAATTTGTAATTAAATACAAATGTAAAATACACAAAGTATTTGAAATACGTATTTCAAATGCTTGTATTTGAAATACTGTCCATCCCTGCTTCAAAGTATGGAGTTGTATTTTGCTTGGAAAAGTGCAAAATGAAAATACTTCAATTACCTATTCAGAAAATGTACTTCAAGTAGAGTACAAGTTTTAAACTACTGCTTTAAGCACAATGTTCTTAAAAAGACACTCACACACAAAACGAAATTCCAGGTAATTTATCATGGTGTCGGGACACTACCCAATAAATATCTTGGTGCAGATTCACGTATATTTCTTTTTAATATCGCAAGTAACCTCAACTGGTTTTCTAGACTAAGTGTTAAAAATACTGTATACGGAGTACGTAGCGCCGGGTCCCTGAGAGTACCTCGTCCTAGAACAAATGATGGGCTTCAAATGTTACAGCATACATTGCCAACATTACTGAACTTTTTAAGAGACCACCATGTCTGTCTTGATGCACTAAATAAGAAAACAATACGCACAATATTCACTTCTAACTTTAAACTTTTTTCTCCTGCATAGACCTGCGTGTTTTGTTTTTTTGCCTTTAAAATGTTTCTGTTAAAGTTTCCTGTCTGCCAATCTGCCGATAGGGGGCAGGGGCTTTGTCAAGCTGCACATTTTGCAGCTTTTTTCCCTGTCTCCGTCACCCATATGTACAATTGGGAGTAAATAAATTAATTGAATTGAACTGTTCCGAAACCGGAATGGGAACATGAGCACGGATATTCAGCCTATCCAGCCTAGATATCACCCCAGATCGCACTTGTCATTTTCACGTCGAGAAAACGCCAGATAGACCATAATATGGTGTGCACAGCGCACATCAAGATGGTGAATAAAAATCAATATATTTTAAATTGTGATTTAAATCTCTGCTATGATGATTTGGATTATAAATAAAAACATGTCCACAAAAATTAATTTACAAAATCTTTTTTTTTTTTTAAATGCCGTTCGAGTATGATATGTTGCTTTCTATGTGCACTTCTTTTAATAAAATCAAAGAATCATTAGGCATTTTAAATATATATATATATATATATATATATACATATATCAGCGGGACAAAAGCAAAAAAGTGGTGCTCTCCTGATCAGATCGGAGAGTTCGAGTTTCTAACTTTTCCGTTGTGTCTGCAGTTGTTTAATGGCCTCTAGCAAGCAAATCAGATCGCGCTAGAAACAAAAACAAAAAGCAAACTAAGCGTTTTTCACTAACTTAAAGCTGAAGCCGCTTTTGAGAATTCCAGGGTACGGCATCTGTAAGTAGGACATTTTGAGTAAGGCTTAAATTAGCCCGCTTGTTAATTAAATTGTTCGACTGACCGTAATTCCCGCTTCCGCGTTGTTTTCGGCGGTCGGGCGGTTTGATCAATCAATCTCTGATGTATAAAACTCATCTACTGATAGAAATTCACTATTTTCAAGCTGCAGTAATTTAAATCAAAATATACTGATTTAAATCAATCTGATTTACATGGTTTAAAAAAAATCATGTGTTTTTTTTTACCTTGGCCACAGTTATTCTTAAATGAACGCGCCAAAAAGAAGGAATACTTACTGACGACAAATATTCTAAGCGGCAACTCCTTCATAAAAACGATGATTTTCACAATAACGAGAAAATAACAAATTCTCTTAGGCTCACTTAACGTGTTCCTTTCGAATCCCGGTAACGAACAACATGCTTAGTTACTTTCTAAAGAAGTAACAAGTGGCGGCGTTTCGTTAATTTATTTCGGTCACGTGTATACATGTCTGGGTAAAGCAGTGTAATTCGGAGGAACAAAAAAGGGGAGCAAGGTCTGGGTGACGACTAAGGTTTTGTGTTTTCGGGATATTCCGATAAACCCCAGAAAGTAAACCCCCGAAGCGCCTTTCTTAAAGTCGGGGAAACCGATAAACACCGAACTGAAGCTGTCCTCGAACGAGAAGGATCCTAGATTCACAGAAGGAAATCCTTCACCTCTTTTGTGTTGGCCGGGAAGACAGCCCCTATTCAACTACCCGCGAGACTGCGTCCCTCTGTGAAAACCCTCGTAGCGACGCGTTTTTTTTTTTTTTTTTTTTCTCATGTATTTGAGTTACGCGAACGTTCTAGGCAAATCGAAGAATCCCACGGCCACATCCTGATTTCTTCAACTTGACCCCTCACAACTGACGAATTTCTTTTCCGACGCCGAGCTAGACACAAAATATGCCGAATTTGCAACGAAAAAAAAAAATAAACCCCGAGAGACTTTCCCCCTTTTCTTCCACTCTAAAAGAAAAACGAATCCCGAAAATACAAACCCTATCCCCAAGTTACAACACGTGTAAAAAAAAAAAAGAGTTGACGACGTTCCTACTTGGCAGCGAGTTCCTGTGCCGGGGCGCGCCGTGCGAGGTGAACCTGGACAGCGAGACGATGGAGCAGACGCAGGGGGCCCTGGAGAAGCCGAGTCGGTTCACCCTCGACTCGGCCCAGCAGCACGTCTTCACGCTCATGAAGAAGGACACCTACCCGCGCTTCGTCCGCTCCGACCACTACCGGCAGCTGCTGGTCAAGGCGTCCCTGCTCCAGCAGGCACAGGTACAGCGAAAGAGGTGAGTCCCCATCCGAGATCCCCACGCATTCCTACGTGAACTATAGCACATCCGCCCTACTGTAGCCCTAGCCCAGACATGTACGTAGCGAGTTACTAGTGACGAGTTACTTCTACCCAGTTCTTTTCTTTTGTAACGAGTTTTGTATTTAGTTACTTTTTGGTGCAATTATTTAGTCACTTTTTGGTGTTCTATTTAGTTACCTTTTGGAATAACGTGTACATGTCTGCTTTAGCGAGACATGCATTAAACAGAGATAGAATACACGTCTTCTATCTGAGCCAGAGATGCAATACGCGTCCTCTATCTTAGCCCGAGACACAATAAACGGAGATCCCAAAACCAACATATAAAAAGATTATGTTGACTAGATTTAAATTATATTTATTTTGCTTGATCACTGTAGCCGTAATATAGTGATTTTAATCGCTAGATGTATTTTAAACATAACAGATTTATTGATGAATCATTCTGATCACTAAAAATATTCGGGAAGGAAGAATGTCTGTAAATTTAATGTACAATTTAATTACCAAGTTTGATATTTTTAGGTTGGTGAAAGAGCTTTGTTTGCTTCTTCTTTTACATTTTGATCTTCTTGCAATAAGAGATTACTTTTCTAGAGTTGGTTTCTATATTCCACGTTATTATTCGCTTGCGATAAGACGTTACCTAACTGGCGAACGAAGTGATAAACATAAAGCTTACCATTCCGATTTGATCAGAAGACCCCCGCTTGTGCGCGTGTTCAATCTGATATAAATATTTTTGCTTGATCATTCCTTGATTTATATACAATATAAATGCACATACAAAGCGTAAACTTATATACAAACGATAAAATAATACATTTCGGGAATACTTTCGTAGACAAAGTTGACTTAAACTATCGAAGTAAAACCGGTTGAGGTAATTTAAGCCACATTGATTTTTATGCTCCACCCTGCTCATACGTGTGCGCTACCTTAATTGGAGAGGAAAGAAACAGAGATCCCATAAGCATGCCCTACCTTAGACGCAGATGCAATAAGCACTAATAACCTTCGCTTGAAATTACAGAGACGCGATAAAATGTGGTTCAATAAGCATGCTCCCCCCTTTTCCAGGAATGTAATAACCATCCCCTATCTTAGCCAGAGATGGAATAAGCATCCCCTATTTTAGCCGGAGGTGCAATGAGCAAAGATTCAATAATAATCTCTATCTCAGCCAGGGATGCAATAAATAAGGATGCCATAAGCATCCTCACCTTGCTAGAAATGCAATAAACAGATATGCAATAATATCATCCGCATCTATCAGAGATGCAATCAAAGGAGATTCAATAAGCACGTCCCACTTTAGCCAGGGATGCAATAAATAAAATTTAAAAAAAAATATTCCGTATATTGCCATAAATGCAATAAACAAATAAGCAATATTATCTTCTCTTTTGCCGGTGATACAATAAACAAAAATCCAATAAATATTTCCCACTTTAGCCAAGTATACTATAAATAAAAATGTAATCAGCATACCCACCAATGCCAGAGATGCAAGAAACCGAGATGCACTAATATCCTCTACCCTTTCCAGAGAGGATATAAACAGAGATAGAATAAGCACCTCCCAATTTAGCCAGAGATGCAATAAGCATCCCCACCATTGCCCTAAATTCAATTAACAGAGGCGCAATAAATCGTCTGCTTTTGCCAGAGATGCAATTAACAGATACTAAAAGTATCTCCAACTTTAGCCAGGATTACAATAAATAAACATGTAATAAGCATCCCCACTATTGCCAGAAATGCAACAGCGATGCAATATTATCCTCTGCTCTTACCAGAGATGCACTAAACAAACATACAATAAGCATCACCCGCTTTAGCCAGGGGTGCAATAAGCATCCCCACTATTGCCCTAAATTTAATTAACAGAGGTGCAATAAATCGTTTACTTTTGCCAGAGATGCAATTAACAGAGAAACTAAAAGCCTCTCGAACTTTAGCCAGGGATGGAATAAATAAACATGTAATAAGCACCCCCACTATTGCCAGAAATGCAACAGCGATGCAATAATATCTTCTATTCTTACGAGAGATGCAATAAACCAAAATACAATAAGCATCTCCCGCTTTAGCCAGGGATGCAATAAAGATACATTAAACGTCCCCACCATTGTAAAAATATGCTATAAACAGATATGCGATAAGCATCCGCTATTTTTGGCAGAGGTACACAAACAGAGATGCGTTGAGCATTTCTTATCTTAGCCAGAGATGAAATAAACATCCCCTACATTGGCCAGAAATGTAATGAACATTCTCCATTTTATTCAAAAATTATATAAATATAGGCGCAATAAGCACACCCTACAGTAGCCAGAGCGGAAATAAACACCCCTTACTTTAGGCAGAGATGCATTAAACAAAGATGCAATAAGCATTTCCAAACTTATCCATAGATGAAATAAACAGAGATGCGATAAGCACTGCCTACATTAATCATAGAGGCAATCAACATCCCCTACCTTTTCCAAAAATGCGTAAAAAAAGCATGCCATAAGCATCCCCTACCTTAGCTAGAGATGTATTAAACATCCCCCACCTTAGCCAGAGATCAATAAAAAGAGGCATGCAATAAGCATTGCCTACCTTTGCCAGAAATGAAATGAACAGATATGTAATCAGCACTCTCTACATTTGCCAGTAATGCGATAAGCATCCATACTTTAGCCAAAGATGCAACACACGTCCCCTACCTTTGCCAGAAATGCAACAGACAACTCTTCATGAATCAAAGCTTTTAAATCATTGGAAAACCACAGTACCGTAAAAGTACGCGATACTTTTTACTTCTAAAAAAACATAAAAGTAAACTTGGAGTATATTTTTAGTAGGGCTTCAATATCTTACGCATATCTTGTATACTTTTGGTGTGCTTAGTATTTTAGCAGCACGGTTAGAATGTCCAACATGATGGGAGACAGGTCCACCTTGGCGCTACATATCTTTCCACAATCGCATCAACTCAGAGATGTTTGTTAGTTATTACAAGTAATAAAATCACTTTTAATCGATGACTTTTCGGAGGTATTTTATAATGATTTTAATCCAACAGTTGACAGTACAAAAGGCCGGTTTACAAGCAGAAAAATCTTCCGTTTTAAAAATGTTAAGTAAAAAGAGAAGTAATGTTTTTTTTATCTTTCATCCCAACTAATCAAGCAATCGAATTGAATAATTTTAACCAAGACTAATTGAAATTGTAATCGATCACATTTTGAAGTGACGTGTAGCGTCAAAGACATAATGTACGTTAAAAACTGCATTCTAAATGAATAGTTACTCCGCAAAACATGTTTTATAACCACGTACACCTTTAAACAAATTGAGAGAATGGGTCTGCCAGCTTGACGATATCTTTTGTACGTGTCACTGTGCAGTATCTGTAGTCTGAACGGAGAGTTTTTAAGCAAATGAGCTGGGGATGGTTGAACATCTAGGCTAAAACCCTGACACTAAGCAGAATGAGGGGCGACACGACGCAGAAGTGCAAAACAGAAGTCATCAGCTTTTTAGCAGAGCGGACGCTGGTGAAGAGGGGAGAAGAAACTCGCCTCCCCTCCAGGGGTCGCTCCTCTAAAATCGAAAGAGTCAAAAGTCAAATTTGGAGGTTTTACGTGCCAAACCAACGACGGGCATCTGGCACGCCCCAGCGGAGGACTGAGGATTAATTTCGACCACCTGGGGATCTCTTGACGTGCAACCGAAAGCTCGGTTACACGGCGCCTTCTCCGCAATAAGCCTCCGTCAGATTGCGGGCACCAAATAGGAAGAGCGGATGACTTTCAGAGAGGAGCTTTTCCCGGCTTTTTAGCCTGCAACGAACTAAAGGGTTCTGTAAGGGAAGGACGTGTTTTGAAAAGGGACCCGTCGGGAGTCATATCCAGATGGGGAAATGTTGTTCTTGACGACTGGACTTCGTTGAGCTTCCAGTAAGAAAGAAGCTGAATGAGGTGAGAGATTTCTCATTGATAGCAGAATCGAATGCCTTCTATGTAAATAAAATAAACAGAAGAATTTACCGTCAGTATTCCAGTTTCGGAGGGCTCACTAGGACGGCGGATGGGGTATTCTTATCGCAGGTCTACCCACGCGCCTCGACCAATTCCTAGGATAAAAGTATTGGGTGTTGTTTTTTTTATGTGGTGACTATAGGCCACCAAATGAGCTGCGTTTAGGGAATCGCCACTTTGTTCCCGATATTGTTGTGGGCGCCGCCATCTTTGGTACTTGTGCAGAGCAGACGCATGCTGCCCGTCGTCGTTATTCAAAAGTGCGACTTCCTCAGCATTAGTTTTCGTGTTAGGAAGCTCATGCAATATAGCTTTGCTCTGTCGCAATTTGTTTCAACATTTCTGGAGTACGGAAAAGCGTTTCGTGTGATTTCAGATAAAGCTTCAGATAACTGGCAACCATGATATTAAGCCACAAGATGGGTAAGTGTCGTTACTCTGAAGCATAGCTAATTTAGTGGCACTAGTGGTGACTACGCGCGCTGAGGATGAGATACGAAACTGATTCGGTCAGCCCGCGCCAGGCGTGATTGCGATGACAATGTTGAAGGAGGATGAAAACGGTATTGATATCTGGTGTTAAGGTACATCTTCAGACCTGGCGATTAGTCTTAATGAACCTGGCGGGGTTATGCATAACGCTGTAACTCGAAAGCATCAGGCCGTCGTCACATTGCTAACATACTGTACAAAACACAGCCTGCAGACTGTTTGAGTCATGTCCGCAGACCATTCTCTCATTATGTCTGCAGAGAAACTCCGTGCCTTTTGTATTCTAAACGAGCAGAGTGACTTTTGCTTCATGTTTTTCACCGATCGCTCCTACGCATTTCGGCGGTCAAAGTGTACCCAAGTTCGCGAACCGTTTTCAAGGTGGCCGTGCCACATTTTGCGCACTTACTCTTAGTTCCTCAATTGTCCTTCGGATGACGCAGGTTCTTCCACTTCGGCTCGAGCACCAAGAAGAAGACGTCTGTGTGCGGGCCCCTGGCCGCCGGTCTTCCCGCGACGCTAGGCGGCACCAGTGGGGGTAGCATTACGGGCGTCGCCCCGTCTTCCCTGGGCGGTGCTGCCTCCTTGTCGTCGAGTGCCACGTCGTCGGGGACGTCGCCGGCGTCGCGGCCTCCAGGACGCCCTTTGTCCGGAAGCACGGTGGACCTGCGTAACTCGGTGGATCGCCGAGAACAGGGCGCGGGAGGAGGTGTCGGCGCTGGTGTGGGAAGTTTCTTCAGCGGTCGACACTCGCACTCGACGAGCGACCTGCACAAGTTGGACACTCCGGACTGCAGCAAGGGTCACTCCGCCAGGTGAAAAGGCCGCGGGGACACTGCCGGACACAGACGGACACATCCGGACACAAAGACAGCGCCCTGGTACGCTGGACCGACCGAGGCAAAGAGACAGGACAGGGACAGACAGACGGGACACGACGCGACCGGGTTTCGGGGGATTGCCTTTATGTTCGCATGCAGTTATAAAGAAAGAGTGTCAGTTGTACCCCCCTTACGGGTATTCATTCATTCATTTTTACTTGGATTTTCACCAGCAATACCGGGTAGGGAGGCGGGGGCAAAAAGCAATTCTGCCTGACGCCCCCCCCCCCCCCCCCCAATGTACAGTTCAGAGTTACACGCCGGGTACATTTGCCATGCTAAAAACAATACGCCAGCAACATGTTCCATGACTAAAACGCCGAGCAACATAAAGATAGCAATACAATTAAATTAAAATTGTGATAAAATTGGAAGCTGAGACAACAGTAACACTTATCGGCCCTCAGTTACTTCTAAAAAGTTATAGTTTAAAAAGTCACAGTTTAAACGGCATCCCGTTACACTAGCAAGGGGCGTAAGGGGCACTGCTTGGTACATGGTTGATACTCATACTTTTCACAAGAGTCACATGACAGCCATCGTAGAGATTGTTATCTAATGACTGTCTCCAGTCTGCCGCGCAATGACTCGCATGCCGCATCACAAATGTAATGCATTAAACTTCATTTCGTACTCCCAATTGTCAATTAGGGGTTTCACTTCCAGCAAAGTTGGAGCGAAATCCCCCGCTCGTTGCAACTTTTTTTATCTGTAATTATTTAAGGCGTAGCAAATAGTAAGCTCGCTTTCCGTTCTACGATTATTCAAATTTTCTTTGTCAACTTGATATAACGTTAAAAAAACCGCCCATAGCTGGAGGAGAATTTTTACTAAAATAGCTTGATATGGTGTATGTCTCTTGATCACTGCATGCAACAAGTAAACGTGTAATTCAATAGCTCCTATCTTACGCTAGCGAAGGTGGGCATCTCTCTGTACAACTCCAATGTAAAGTAGCCGGCTATGTATTATGCGCCAAGGCTAACCTCTCTGCAGTTCAGTCACAGTTTTTCTCTGTCGTGCAACGAACACCACACGATCCCGGACTGTTGGAGTGCCACGAACATTACGCCTACAAGGAGATGCTGAACGCAACCTTAGAGTCAAGTTGTACATAAAGTTTACATCGCCGATGTTTACTCATAGATTTTTTTATGTGAAATATCATCGGTGCGGTGTTTACACCCCAACAGGTGCTTCATACGGTGTATTGGCAGGCCAGCGATCTGTTTACTAGCTTTACTATGATTGTACACCAAAGGATACGATTCGTCAATTCCCATTTAATGCTAAACGATGATAGTAGCATACTGAACATTTTTCTCTGTGTTCATCCCTGGGTTCAAAGCGCAGACTGCAGGCTTCTAATAAATGTTTTGTGAGGCGGCTGCCTTAGTAAAAACGAAAATGCTTATCGATTCCAAGCTTATTTTCTTTAAGGTCAATTTGTAGTACAAACACACGCTTACGTTTATTTATAGTTTCTAACGATTAGTTTGGGGATTTTTTCGTGCACGCTCAGCTGGCCGCATGTAGCCATGTTAGGTAAGGCTGGAATCGTGAGCCCTTAGCTGTGTAAGCTGTTCGCACCACATGACGCTTGATCGACACCCTTTCAAGCTACAAGACATTACCTCGCGCCCTCAGCCTTCGCAGTTCTCCGCGCTAAGGTAGAATAGAACGTAGTTGTCTCTACTTAGTTGCTTTGGTCGACCTTCCACGATTGGAAAAGGGATCACTGTAATGTCTTCGGTAGGCTTTATGCTGTATTTGACTTTCATCGACAAAGATAAAAGCAATGTCTTGACGCCAACCTTGCGCGCGTAACTGTTGTAATGCCCCCGTTGGCGCCAAAAGGAATCGACCATGGTGAGGCCCTTAAAGAAAATTAGTCATGCGATTACTACAAGCACGATTACTTTAGCTCGCGCCGTGCCCTTTGCCCATATCATCCATTGAACGTGTTGTTTGACACTGATGACAAGACACTAAAAGCACAATCTTGAGGCAAGTCACACTTATGGCGTCACGAGTGGAAGCATGAGAGTGTGCCACCAAAAGGTCTCACCGCTGTACACGTTCTACTCTTGGGGGGCCACTACCTGTGACGGTGATGCCGAAGTTACGGGTGCCCGTACGTTCGCGAAGCTTAAGTGTCAATCAAACCTATGCAAGCGGACTCCTCGCTCTGAAAATACTAGAAAGATGTCCCCATGAAGAATCCATTCTAATAATAGTTTTTTGCGCCCTTCCCTCACTGTCTACTGGGTAGCGGAACGCGTCCGAAGCGTGCGCTGTACATCTCTCATGAGGAATGCCTGCGTCCACAGCCCAATGACTCAGCACCTCTCGCCTGGCTGATAAGCGCTGGAAAGGTGCATGGGCAACACCACCTAGAATAATGAAGGCCGGCGAACATCCTCCTCTCCCGTCATGGAACGTCATCGCAGTCCGATTGCGCCAGCTCGGCAATGGGACCCGAGCCTGATGTCTAGCGTCCTTCGACGCATTGGTTGAACAAAAGACTTAGCCAAACGCAGACGCAGCACTCGTGTTCAATCCTTCGCTCGATCTCACTGTGATTATGTAAAAATTCGAGTGCACGGGTTTTTATTATTCCAGGTGGTGTTGGCACAGGAGTAGACTTGTCTGCGAACAAGTTTTTATTTGTGTCCGTGGGACAGTGGGCCTCAACCTGAAACGTCGTGGTTTCTGTCTGATGTGCTTTCAGGTTTTCTTGGGGGTCCCAGGAGCCCATGGTTCACGTGGGTCAAGATCAGGACCAGGGCGGCCCCAGCACGCTCCAGGTGCCTCGCTGGAGCCATCGGTCCAGCGATCCGGGGACATCGATATCCGACCTCGGCCTCCAAAAGGATCCCCTGCTGACGCCCTCCAAAGAGGAAGATTCGGCGTCCAACTAGCACCACCTTGACTCATCTTGCGGTGCCTCGACGTTTCCTTTCTGCGGCAGCCGACTGGTGGCGCCACCAGACAGACACAATACGTTCGTAGGGTGGTGATAACGCTTATAGTTCGCCATTCTGTTTCGGCGCCATACTACAGCGCTTCGCGGGGGGATTGAAATTAGAGAAGTAGATGGCATCACTGCCCGAAAACACTCTGCTGACGGTTTACAGTTCGCCCGTGTATGCGAGGTTCTTTCTAGGCCGGACCTTGCACACGGATCTATCTAGTATCATTTGTTACCACGCTACTAACTTGGCTCGAGTCGTTCCCTCTCCGTTCGATAACTATAAATTAATAATCAACGTATTCATGTTTTTCTATTAATTTCTTTCGAACCCACTATGGTCTACATAAATAAGCAAAACGAAGACATGCTTACATGATCAATGAAGACATGAATGAAATACGCCCGCTAAATCTAGTGGGTTCTAAGTCCTGGGCAAAACTCCTCTAGCTAAAAGTTGTCTTAATCCCAGCATCCCCGCTCTGTGCGTCAACATGACTTGTCTTCGAAGTCTCTGGAAGGCTTGGCGCCAAAATGACGGCTCCGTAGTGACTTTCCAGACGCCCTAGTGCCACATAACTTAGGAAGCTACATTTCCCGAACACTGGTGGGAAATAACACTAAGATGTAAAACGTATCACCACTAGATGATCCACATGCTCTAGCCGTGGTATGAAAAACATGAAACGGCTTCAGGAAACTAAAGATATTAAATGATGCCCATGCCACTCGAAACGATTACATCTGCGTGCAGGATTAGGGAAATTAAAGTTGCAAGCAGCGATTCCTTAACACGGATGACGATAGCACGCGATATTTTGAACTCTTGAATGAACTCTGCGGTAACCCTACATCGTGTTCTGTTTGTGATATTGGCTTGAAAAGGAAGCTGCAGACGTTGCATATTCAAGTTTGCTATGAATCGCGTTAACATGCTAATACGGCAGTCATCACCTACAGAAGGAACACGTGAACTTTCGCTAAGATGTTAGCGTGCTCGTCACTCGGTTTTACTAAATGTTAAAAAAAAAAATCGTGTCCACAATATTTACGTTTCACGCACCACAGAACATTTTAATTTTTGAATTGGATGTTTCAATTTTTGCTAACTGTACTTACGCGGATATTTAATTGAGTAAATCGAAAGGCCCCTGGGCAGGCCACTACCACATTTAAGTCTTCGTCGCTCACCATATAAGAGGGGAGCATCACGTGACTTACTTTAAGTAAAATCACTTAAGTTTTTATGCACGAACGCGTGGCTCTGACCTGACGACGTGGCGGTGGCGCTGCTTTCGGCGCGGCGCATCTGTAGTCGCTTCACCTCACGTCTGGTTTCCGCGCAGGCGCAGTGCCCATACCTGATGGGGCGCGGACGCGAACTTGTTTGTAAACAGTGTATTTGTCTATACTATACCTTCAAACATTGAAGGCGCAACCAGCCTAGAAGTACCCCACTGGTCTCATGGGAACACGAGGCCACTGCAAACAACTAAGGAGTCACTTAGCCGTTTTACCCCAAGAACCATAGTTAAACAAAGTCCGGCTTCCCGCGGAGCAATACTAATTTCTCTCTTTATATGGATAATTAGGAGGTATGTAGGTGAATGTTATATTATACATATATGTCATTTTATCAAGACGCATACGTTCCAAAACGCCAAAAGCATCGCATTTTCCTCCGAGAACCAAATCTCGTAATAACTATTTCGCGCCGCGCATAAACAATGCGCAAAACTTGCTTTTTTTCTTGAGGCGAAAATGGGTAGAGAAACTTTTAAGACTAGTTCAAAACTGATCCATTCACTATCGTTTATTCGAGCATACCGTTTTTATTCTGTTTAACAAACGTAAGTGACAGGCACAATTTTCGAGAGATTACCCCTGTCGCATTGAATCAGGTACAAATCTTGTCTAGTTCAGGTGGGCCAAACGCGGGAATGTATCGCTTAAAACAAATAGACAAAAGAAATAAGCGTCATAACACTCTAGCCACACGGATCGATACCTTTTCCTAAATGCAGTGCTATCTGGTGACACAAATGCCATCTTTTCTCATGCCATAGCCTCTTCTATACTGACAAAGCCTGCTGCAGATCGCCACGAGACGCGGCCGCCGAAAGTGAAAAGGTAGAGCGGCAGACAACGGATAAGAGAAAAGGCATGTGACGAGTGCCCCGCTGCGGCGAGACGCCGAAACACACTTGTCCCGGGCAATGGAATGTCGCCGCTCGTGCTCTTCGCGTTCCTGGCGCTACTGCTTTTTTTCTCGTCGGGATTGAAAACCATGTTTCGGGTACTCGCCGCTGCAAAAGCTGTGCGCTGAGTACAGGCCCCCCGAGAAATGCTCTGTGCTACCAGATCCTCACGCTTCAAATCTGCGACCGGTCACTCTGTGGCTCCGTCGTCGAACTGCCAGGCTTTGTGAGTATAGAAAAGGCTATGGTCATGCCCATGGCGGCAGAGATGTAGCATTCTATCCAGCATCGTCACTTTCGTTCATCTATTGCAGAAGAGAATGTGCTGTTTATCGTAAAGCTCGTTATCGATTAGTTTCAATGTAGATGGTGACAAGAAAACGACCGATCTGTGCAGAGCGTTGACCCGAGTGAAGCTCTCGATAAAATTCATCTCATCAAGAAGCTTGTGGGCCGGTTGCGTGGCAACTGATTAATGGGATGGGAGTCAGAAATGGCCGCTGCCGAAGCGCTCCTATGCCGTTTGTGCGTTGCTAACATCTGTACTCCGACCCACCTTAACTTGCAAAAAGGTGAAGGTTAGACTCCCAGTGAACCAATCAGCGCGTCGAAGAGAGACACGTGACCATCCATAGAGTATTCTACATCACTAGGTGCGCGCAGTGCTGTCGAAGGCACGGGGGGAGAGAAAGAAAAGCCGCTTTTGTACGAATTTTTTGCGACAGACTAGTCTTCAAGGAGGACAAAAGCGACGTCTGGGTAAAAAAAAAGAGTTTCTCCTCCCCTTCTTCCCCAACTGCTTGGGTTACGCACTGGCCCCTGTACCTTAGGTTGGGTTTGTCATGTGCTTCGATTCCATCGCTTTGTCTCACTCGACCGGGCCGTAGCGTTCCGTTTCTGCCCAGTTACAGTGAGACAAAATAGAATCCACAAACGTGTTACCTAATTAGGCGCATGTTTTCTGCGCTCACTTTTTCATCAGTTATAAGAATATTACCGTGTGAACATGTCGCAAATGGCATACAGTCAGTAGATAAAACTTTTGGAAGTAACCGGGATGAGTTGTGCCCCAATGTAACTATCACCGAAGCAGTAGCGACGGGTGTAGGCAGTCCAGTCTGCAGTTTACAAAAGAAAAGCAAACGTTGATTTTGGAGTCACTAGAAATCTATGCTCAGAGTACAGCACTCTTTTACGCCAGAGCCGCATATGTAGAGAGTTTGGCCATTCGTTGGGAAGTATAGGAGACAAATGAGGAGGCGCCATTGGCCGAAAGCGGGCTGGGCGTGTTCCAGGGCGTCTTCAGAAATTCGAATGTGACCAAAAAGAAGCCGGAAATAATACCCTGGCGGTGGTCGCGAGAAACAAACCTGATAAGTGCATCGAAGTAACTCTCGATGACTGAAAATATGGTACACGTGATGTTTCAGTCACGCTCATCCAAAATTATGGTGGAAGAGTGCGACTAGCGGAACGATCGACATAATCCTTGCGCCAAGCGCCGAGGACCGGGAATCTGCCGTCCGAGCGGTCAGACTCTGTTCGAGCAAAACAGAGTTGAGCGGCGCATTCGTTTCTTACATCTCTCTGCATGATCATGATTGAAACTTCACGTGCACTCTATTTTCAACCACGAAGAGTTACTACACTTCACTCTTACGCGCTTATTAAAACCATATACGAACATAAACCTTTGATCATAACTGTTTGTCGCTACCACCACCAGGGGATTCTTTTCGGCTTCTGGTTGGTCAAGAGAGCCTGCCAAGCCCTCTTTCCGAGTCTGGCGCACGCCCTGGCTCTGCCCGTGCCTCCCATTGACCAAACTCTCTATATACACGGCTCTCTTTTACGCCATAGTCCGATGTTGCCAAGGCGGTCATCCGTTCGTTATCGCTGTGCTTAGAGCCGCACGGGTGACTTTTGCAACATTTGCGAATTGGAAAGGCGACCTTTTGAGCGGTAGATGCAGTGTTGGGAGATCCTTGAGGTACTGTTGTGCGACGGTTTGAATCGTTTATGGTTTTGGCAATCCGGACGACGCAAAGCACGTCTGCATCTTTCTTCGGGCATGTCGGAAAAAGCGGGTGGCAATTCACGGCATAGATTCCACGCACGAATACGGCGGAAATGTCGTTACTCTCAAGCGTAACTTACATGGTGGCCATAGTCTGTACAACGTGCAGAAACCTAAGCGCACGCGACGTCATCCCTCAGGGTTCTTGAACAGTGTTGCCAAAGATTCTCTTTAGTTCCGTATTTTGAATGGCCACTTGCAGACGAGAATTGATGCTCCTCTAAATCGAGAACCTTGGCAGGGCGTCGCTCTACGTGGCTGTTACCTTCCGGTTAGAAAGGCTCCGGTTTAGCCGTCTGCCGCAAGCGCTGCTGCTCCGGTGCTGGACATTTCGGAGCAAGCACAGGTGTAACTAGTGCCGAGTGTTCTTCCCCTTAACAAGGCCGCCATTTTTCCACACCAGGTGTGGGCACTGCGCGTGCGCATAAACCAGACTCGCGGGAAGCGTCTACGCATGCGCCGCACCGACAGCAGCGCCACCCAGTGGGCTTGACGTCACAGCCTGCGCGCGTTATTGTATAGGGCTAAATCGGCCATATCGCGTATCTAGGGTAAACGAACAATAGACCCCTCTTCAAAGGTCCATCGGGCAACATTGGAGGCCGCCATTACTTGGGCACGTTGCGTGTCATTGGATCCGAGTCGTCGCCAAACGCTGACGCAGCCCTCGTGTCCAATCTATGCGGAGCGAAAGTTCGTCCGCTTCTTTTGCAGGGGTTGTGGTGACGTCAGAACGCCGACCTCTGATTGCCTCATTGAAGGATAGTGGGTAGACCTCAAGGCAGTTTGCTTTGAGGTCTGCCCGCTATCTTTCAATCAGAGCCAATCAGAACTCGGCGATCTGACGTCACCACAACCCCTCCCCCCCCCCCCCCCCCCCAAAGGAAGCAGACGACTTACGCTCCGCATACCCAGAGCCAGAGTATACTTAATTGCCCAAGCAATAGCGGAATTGGGCAATCAGAGCATCAGCTGCGAGATTGCGCGCACTTTAGAATCTATTACAGCTGAAGGTGCCGACTTTCTCTGCAATCGAGACTCCCCTTAAAATTCCAATTACACTTCGTATTTATTTTTTCGAAACGCAAAATAGTGGTTGACACGTTGCTTGGAAAGAAAAAGGAACGAGCCGATATACTACAAAAGAAAAAAAGAAAGAATATTGAGATATTATACTGACGGAGGAAATCGGACAGCGGGTGCATACAATGTTCATCAACACAAGTGAAACAACTGCAACGAAAGGACACTGCTGTGCTGCCGGGGAGGTGTCCACTCCTCCACTGCGTTCACTGCGTTGTTTATAGCTACAATGTGCAAGCATATTACATTATTTTGTTTCGTGTTCTCTATTACTATCACCTGAAGACATTGAAAATCCTGGGCATCTGAATCAAACCTACACAAGGAGTTGTACAGTGCAATGTTTCGTTCAGCGCTAGCGTCCTTCCAAATGTTGTTCTTCCTCTAGAGGGAGTTTTGAAGTTGGGTTGGGTCATCCTAAGAACCTAACAGAGGGGCGAGATAATACGTTGAATTCAATATATGATAGGCATATATACGCGAGAAATTCGTTGTAAACATAACATTTTAAAGTCATCGAATCTACTTTTTAGAACACGTTTCCGCAACTTTCTTCCAAAAGTATAGATTTAAGGTGGCGTGCGTATCGAAAATCAATAGCATGTTTTTATGCTCTGTCGTTGATAGCCTGTAAGGCCGTTGTTCTTTTAGCAGTGAACAGGTGGATGTGTTTCTCATCAAATCAAAAAATAATAAAAACAAAACAGGATCAAGTCTTTAAGAAAAATAATGACACGGAACGTAGCCGTTATCTTGTTAACGAGTTACACCTACCAATGGCGTTGTGTATAGATGGCTCGATAGCTTCCTTTGATGAAACGTTCATCAACAGCTAGGTAGATTATTATTCATTATTTGAGCATGTTGACTTCCAGAGGGTATCCTAGACCGCGAAGTCTTCCCATTTATTTTGTGCTTAATAATCTAGTCCTGTAATTAAATCTACGAGTCTTAGTGTCAGCACTTGGCAATGTCCTGGCGCCACGCTCGAGAAAAACACCCGTTGAGATCCACCATTGTTTGTTCATATTCTGCAACTATTAAAATTTGTCAATGAACGTTAGCAACGCTAACTATCTAAGTACTGAGGTGCGTCGAACGAAAAATTAAATTATTGATTTTATTACCGAGTGAACATTCCGCAAACCACGGCTAGAGCTGCGTTTCAAGGTCTGAAGTGCGCTTCTAATCCGCTAAAGTAATTTGTTTTTGTCGTAAACTCATCCAAAAATAGATTTACTCAATTACCCAGAGGTTTACCCAGAGAAGACAGTGCAACGACGTAGTGTGTACCTTTAAAATGCTGTGTCATCATTTCATGCTAAACAAACGCCCGTAGACACAAGCCACAGTGGACGTCTGTGACCGAAAAGAGAACCACCGTCGTCTGGAGCAGACGACATGCTTCAAACGTCGCTGCAACGTTGCCAGACGTGTGTGCAATGTGTTCGCCATTATCCACTAGGGCGCGCCACAAGCGTGTCACCAACTTTGTTCAAGTTCCGTGGCTCCTGACGAATTGTGAAAACCAGCGGACAGCATGCAAAAAGCGTGATGAGCAAACGTCAAAGCGCCTTGAAGAGACGTCAGGGCGCCTAGTCTTGGAGCTCCCGGGCAAGGACGTCAAGGAAGAGGGCATGTGTGCGCGTTCCTTGGACAAGAAAAACCAAAGAAACAAAAAAGGACAGCTCTCCCTTCTTCCAGTGCTTGGTGTCCAGCGACAACTTGTGATATTTTCTAGGACTGTAGGCTTCCAGGGGCTCAGAGTTGCGAACGTTTTCGGGGGGGATTGCGTTCTTGTTGCCGCTGCTGCTGCCGCCTCCCCCTGGCTTTGCATGTGCACAGACTGCAACAGTAGAGCCCATCTATTTTTTATTTGACTGTACGATAGTTTGAGAAGTGCCGAGTGCTGAGCCCGCCGCCGCCGTCACAACCGATCTGTTAAAAAGGACGTCGGCTGGTCGGTCGCTCCGGTTTCAGTTTTTCTCGCCTGGATCGATTGTTGCGCTTAACTTCTAGATGTCAATACACCATGTAAACTAGGAGTATTAAAATTTTGTTTTCCGTACAAAGAGCGGACGCAGGAGTCTTGCGTGTCTTTTTGAACTTTCATGGAGAGTGTGCCACTTGATTCCTAGGTTCCTTTACGAAATTGTTAAGACCTAACTCTGAACAGTGTCGTCAATAGACCCTTTGCGAAAATCCGAAAAGCCCGCGCGCGGCCGCGTGACGATTAATAGGAGTCCTCGGTACGCCCCTCCCAACGTCTCTCCTACCGCTACACGTAGCATACGCGAGCAGGCGCAGGTTACCACGGCAACAACTTTTGAGCAGCCGAGTCTGACGAACGACGAGCCAACGGCTGCCCCTTTCTCATCCCTCTCCTTTGTACCGGCTCTGTCATCTGCTGCACCAACGCTTTGTCGAACCTGGTCAAAACCTGCCACGATTGCGGTGCAAAATAAGTGGATTCGGTGACACTTCAATACGTGAAGGTAGGTTACGACGAATAACGTATTCAAATAAGTTCACCTGTCGCGATGCCTTTACGCTGCCACAGGTACGGTACACTGCCAATGACGTACGACTTGGCC